TCCCCGACGTCTTCCCAATATCCCGTGGCCACCGATTTCTCCGTGCCGGTGCCGTTGCTGGCACAGCGAACTTCGCTGCTGCCCGCCAGCAAGACATAGGCTGGGGGACCTTGGAAAACAGAGGCCTTCATTGTTGTCGAAAATGGTGATCTACTGTGATCTCGTGGGGTTTAAGGGTGTTTAATGGTGGTTTAATGGTGATTTAGTGGGGTTTAATGGGATTTAATGGTGATTTCATTGGATTAAATGCTAGTTTCATAGGATTTAATACTGATGTCATGGGATTTAAGAGTGATTTCATGGGTTTTAATGGTGATTTCATGGTATTTAATGGTGTTGAATGAGGATTTCATGGTATTTAATGGTGTTGAATGAGGATTTACTGGAACAATGGGATATCATAGGGGATATTATGGGATGTAATTAGGGGTAAATTAACACAGAGCGTTTACCCTCCGGTAATCAAAGATGGCTGGGAAATCCCTAAATTCATCGGGCATTGAAGTGGGAAAATCATTGAACTAATATGGAGGAATTTCCATTACCATGTTTGATTACCAGAGGGTACCGGTACCGGCAAAGTTATTGGGATAGCAAGACGCACCATGGTGGTATGAAGGAACATACCATCCAGTGAACCGGGTGTCAATCCAACAGAGCCTATATCCATCATGGCCAACACAGGCAAATCTCACTTTTTCTCGCCCTACATGAGAACTATACCACCATGATATGATCAAGGGTCCACTGAGGGACCTGAATGGAACTACTCTGCCACCTTTAAAACCATACTTTGATGTTCTCCTCCCCAACCTTTGTAAATTGGTTTATAATCCTACCCAACCCTATTTCTACCATTAACCCAACACTTAACCTACGTATGCATCTTCGTTGATGGTTGTACCTTGTATTTTCGGAGTGCAATAAAGGGCCAACCTCGCTATGAGGTATCTGCTCTCATGCACCTCCTTTGTCCCAACACAATCGCAATCGCAAAAGGGTCAATATCTATTCAACAATGGGTCATTAATGGGTCATTAATTGGTCATTCATGAAAAATATTCATTTTTTTTCCCGAAGGGTTTGCTGCTATAAGCAATGAGAACCCCTGGACAAATAGCCATGGACATAACCATAGGTCGATGCCCTCGGGAGACCTACCGGACCTCTCTTTCATGAGATCTCAGTTGATCCCCAAGATATGGGGAGTAAAACCCAAAATCATCATCATCAATCAATGGAGATGTCTTGCCACTGCTGACTTCTACTTGTTGCACTTGTTGCTTATTCCGGCAGCAATTGTCCAGCCACAGCAGAAGCATTTCGCTTTCACGTGGCAGAGTTGTAGTTTTACCCTGAAGAAACCAATGTCTTAGCTCGTTAACATGTATATATATATATAGAATATATATATATGTGCATCAAAACGGCAGAATATCGGAATGCCGTTCACCAAGATTTCCAAGACATTAATAAACCGTAGATGCGTAGTCTGATATTGTTTAAAGATGGTGGATGGATATGAATTGGCAAAATAGAAATAATATACCAGTTAAATGCCACCATGAATCTCCATTGGTTATTACCCTATTTAAACCCCTTCGAATATTTTGTCGAAAAAAACAACTGAATTGAGCAGTGTGAAATAAATCCCTCTATCATTCCATGAAATACTGGTTGGTTTATAGGTATTGTCCTATTTCACTATTGTAATCCCCAATATATTGACTAGTACAATCCCCGAACTAATCATCAACCAACGCTTTGAACACTGCTCAATTAGAAAACATTTGATTTTTTTTAAGGGAATGTCCCAATTGGACATTCCATTTTGTTACACTGATCCACCTGGGAAACAGAATGAACCCCATTGATAACGGTCGATGGGGGTTTATAACCCTTCCATCAAAGTAACCAAGATACTTCCCTCTGGTCCCTAAAGGTGGCAACGGAACTTTCATTACCAATGGAAAGTTTCATGGGAGCATCATCACAAAGTGGACATGTTGTATTGCTGTCTTTGATTACCGAAGGGTAAGCCATTGAAAACAAGTTTCAGTATTCTACCAAAGAAAGGATTCCACCATTTTTTTGAAACGTTGTCCAAATCATTTTGTGACACAGTTTCAATGCTGAATGACCAGGCCGTGCTCTGAAGCTCGGTGATGAGCCACCTATACCATAGCAAACTGTAACAAATCACCAGGTTGGGCATCATCTTTGGTGTTTTAAGCAAGCTTTATGGTGTTCTCAGCTATGAAGCTCCATCTATAGGGGATTTTCTGCAAACGGCTAAACAACCACAGGGTATTATGCATATGGTCCATTAAACATTCGACGTTGTCATTTTCACATCAGTAACTCTTCTTATTCAACCATTATTAAGCATACAGATTAAATTCCCAGCTGTAAACCTCTATTTCTACAGAGTTTCCAGAGGATTTTTCCCTATAAACTCCATAAACCATAGTTGCATATTCCCCACAACCATAGTTATTGTCCTTATAAACTAGCTACGAGCAAGTATCAACCCCCGTGACAACTCCCATTACCCTCTGTTTATTTAACATAGCCATGGAAAATCACCATTTTTAAGTTCGGTAAACCATCTAAAACTGGGCCATCTATACCATGGCTATGTTAAATAACCAGAAGGTAAAATCACCAGTGATAAGTTGGTATGTAAACCCCATGAAAACTATAGTTATATCTACCATAAACCATAATGAAATTGGAGTTATTTGCACCAACTTAGCTATCATAAATCAGCTATAAATCCCATGAAACCACCATTTTCCTATGGTTTTCCTATGATTTTATAGTAAACGGGGGCGCCACTTTGTATGTTTCTTCGTTAAATCCTCGACATCTCCATGGAACCGCGAAAAAGTCCCAGTGGCAATGCAATCGCAGGGTGGCGCCCAAGCTACGCCAGGTACCCTCCAAAACAACACCTTCGGGGTCGAACCCGGTGAAGGGAGTAACCATTAAACTGGGTAAAGTACAATATTTCACTAACCTAAATTGTTGGGCCATGTGGGGATGGTTTCCCTAAAATAAACCATGATTCCAGTGAGGGAGAACAGTGAGGTCGTTGAAATTTACCGAGATTAATTGACTGGTTAAAAAGATTCTTGACTAAACCACAAAGTATGTTTAATCTGTTTAATGATATTTCACCATCATTACATAAAAATTCAACACATATTTTTATTATTATTGATTATCATAGTTATGAATGATGATTGGTTGATGATTATCAGAGTTATTTCAATGGCCATTTCAGGAACCTAAATTGGAGGTACCTACCATATGTAAGGCCTATATAAGGCCTATGACAGGGAATAATATGGCCTTATATGGTACAGTACCTCCATTTTAGGATCCTGAAATTCCCATTGATTATTAATTAACAACAAAAAATGTTTGGTTGATGATTAGTTTGTTATTCATTTTGGGGATTAGACATACCAACATTTTTTCGGGAGTAAGTACAATCGCCACTCGCCACTTTCATTGACTTTACACTTTACTTGGGGGTTTTGAGTTCCACTAATACATGGGTTATGTAACCATAGTTGCAGGAATTAGTAGCCATGTAGGAATTGTTAACAATGTATAGTTGCGAGCTCATGTGTTCCATGGTGCTGATATATTTACCAACATTTACCTCTGAAGAAGATTGCAACATCTAAATGAAATATATACCATACATGGAGCATATAGGCAACTGTTTGGTTGATAATTAGTTTGTCATTTATTTTTGAGATTTGAACTACCACAATGCGGGGATATTTGCGTGGATATAGCTAATTAATAATACTTGTGGGTGCGGCTGGGGTCATTCACGGGTATAACTAGGGTAATACCGTAATACTCATACAACTATGGTTATATAGATTTATATAGTCGATGTATGAGTGATAGAATGCCAGAAGATATGCCAGATAGAACGCCAGATAGAATGCCACAAGATATGCCAGATAAAGTGCCAGAATGTTTGCCAGATAGAGTGCCAGAAGATATGCCAGGTAGAATGCCAGATAGAATGCCAGAAGGTATGCCAGATAGAATGTCAGATAGAATGCCAGAAGGTATGCCAGATAAAGTGCCAGAATGTTTGCCAGATAGAACGCCAGAAGATTTGCCAGATAGAATGCCAGATAGAATGTCAGGTAGAATGCCAGAAGATATGCCAGATAGAGTGCCAGAAGATATGCCAGGTAGAATGCCAGATAGAATGCCAGAAGGTATGCCAGATAGAATGTCAGATAGAATGCCAGAAGGTATGCCAGATAAAGTGCCAGAATGTTTGCCAGAACATATGCCAGAAGATTTGTCAGATAGAATGCCAGATAGCGGTCAGAAGATATGCCAGAAGATATGCCAGATAGAGTGCCAGAAGATATGCCAGAACATATTGCAGAAGATATGCCAGGTAGAATGCCAGAAGATATGCCAGATTAATGCCAGAAGATATGTCAGATAGAATGCCAGAAGATTTGCCAGTAACAAAACGTATAGATGTCATGGTGGGGATAACTCGAAGTAAAGCAATTTTACCCATTAATAGCATGATGTTTTTCCATAGTTATGTTAGTTTACCAGAGAGTATCTAATACTAACTAAGATCTCTGACCATGATCTAATCCAAGGCATTATCAAAGCTACCATGACATCTTAAGACCATGACACCCAACCGGGCACAACCAACGAGTCATAGAACTCACGGACTTGCCATTCTGCTTTGACTTGCCTGCTGAAGCTGCTTCAACAACTGCTTTAAATTGAATCTTCCCAGGCTCGTCGTTGAATGGGAGCACGCGTGCTCCGTAGCCTTGTGAGAATTTCTCATCAGCTCCGTGCTGTACCGGAGCGAGATAAATCGTCAAACCGCCCAGTGGCTGAACTCGCTGGGAAATGTTTGAGAGATGAAGGTTTGATGACCACATGGTAACCTTCTGATCGTAAGTGGGCAATACCCTGTGGTAAACTAACATAACTATGGAAAATCCCCATGCTATTGATGGGTAAATCAACTATTTCTATGGCCATTTTCAATAGCTTTTGCATGTTTACCAGAAGGTACATTCCATCAATCACTATTACTAACCATTACTGACAATCATAATTTAACATAGCTATTGAACATTGCCATGTACAGTTGATTTACCTATTAAAAATTGTGATTTTCCATAGTTTTTTGTATGTTTACCAGGCCGGGTAACACATTTATCACATCTTGCCCTTCGTTCCTTCCGGGGATCTTTACTGAGGGAAAAGAATGACAAGGGCCATCCACAAAAACTGGAGTTCGTTACAGTACTTGGAGGCCCATCTCACTTAGTAAGTGGTACTCCAAAACGGTTACCCTCTGGTTATGACTAATATAGCCATGGAAGCCATGGCCCTAATCGAAATAGATGGTTTACCAAACTTAATAGCATGGTGGAACTTTCCATGGCGAACTGTTAAATAACCAGAGGGTGATTTATAATGGAACATCCAATCTAAAATTGATGATAACTAGGGGTACTCATCTCAGGAAACCATCAAATAAGCCTGGTGAGTAAGTTCTGCATGCCCATCCACAAATGGATCTTAACTCTGGTTAGATGACCCTCCAAATAGATGGTGATGATTGGAACTGGGTGATATATATATATATATATATCTCCTTGTAACTGGCCGAGAAAAGGTGGCTTTAAGGGACCAATTACGGCTGAATGCTTGGTACTTGCATCCCTTAAACAATTGTGTTGTGCAAACTTCGTAATTTGAGCTTACAGTGTCCATCAGCTAAATAGTTGATTAAGTCACCACAAAGTCCTGCATATGTATATATATATATATTTATTTATTTGTTTATTTATATGAGTGATACTAATTTCGAAGCAGTAACTATTAATAACTAAAAACAACGATATAGACTATACAGTTCCAAATTAGTGATTGGCAATTGGTAACATAATAATCAAAAAACAGTAAGTAAAGCTATGTTCAGTGAGTAAGTTCCTTTTGCAATAATTAATGGGGTAAACCCAATGTCATAAACCATTCCAGTAGCAAACCATTTGCGGAGAAAAATCATCCCAAGAGGTATACCCCATTGGTAATCAACCTCTATTGGTGATGGTTCATGACATTGGCTTTACCAATTGACACAATACGTATGATATTCGTTATTTACTTCCATTTTAAATAAAACCATAAAGCTTTTATATGGCAACTAAGTAAGTTAGTGGACACAAGTAAGATAAATCACTAACTCCTAACTTTTGAACATCACTAACATGTACTTACATTCGAATTATAAATATACCATCAGGTAATCTAACTTTCATAATGCCCATTGAAATAGATGATTCACCTACATTCCGGCACCAAGAATGGTGATATCCATAGCTACGTTGAATTACCGGATGGTAGTAAAACCATAAGTTCAAGCTATGTTCCCCAATTGTTCTGTTGGTCAAATCCTATTAAATCCTATTTTATCACCATTAAACCTTATTGAATCACCAGAACTTTGTTGGTTAATACGGTGTTAAGACACAACTATCAGGTGAACCAAATAATACTTTGAACGTAATATTAAATCAACTATTAAATCTTATACGATCTCAAATCAGTCAATCAAAATGGAATATTAAATCTGATTGGTTTTTAAATTACATGCCATAAGTTGAATCACCATAATTCCATGATTAAACCCAGAACATACCCATTAAATCCCAGGAAATCAACATGAACAATCCTATTAAATCAACACTAATTTCCATCAAATCACCATTAAACAACTATATAACTTTTTCAGTATGACTGACAAGTCCCACGCAGCGCATGAGGTAAAGGACGGACGCGTAGCATCCGGTCGGACACTCCCAGTGGAAGTGGTAAGTAAAACAAAGCAGATTGAACACCAGACAGTGAACAATATACAAATCGCCACAGGGGCACGAAGATGCAAACACGGACAAAGAGGATACATGAACTCATTGCTCAGTAGATTCACCATCAGCACGTTTCTTCGACGATCCAAGGGTCTGTCTCAACCATTCACGGTTTCGACTGCTCAACCAGAAAGCGACTCCGAGTGAATCTTCAGTGCCACCATAGTGCACACCACGAAGCCAAATGGATCCACCAGTTCCACAGCACCAGATTGCAGATCCTGAACTTCCATGTGTAGAAGCAGTCAAGTAAAAATGATTATGACGTTGCCGACGATCGACAACATCAGCATCATTGCTCCAATGATTCTTGTCATCATCACTCTTCGGTGGATTGCCTTCACAATAGTACAAGTGATGATCGACCGTGGGTCGTTTCCTATTCTCAGTGCGGACTGTTAATTTAATCTCCCATCACCTGTTAATTTAATCTCTCATCTTATAAAATCCCAGTAAATCAACATTAAATCCTATTAAATCACCATATCTTTGTAGATCTCCCATCAGTTTCACCAACGGCCTGGACATGGCTCTGTGGGAACGCTCTTCTCTTCCACCTCTAAGGAGAAGTTCTCGGGTTCCTGAAACCATAGGGAAAACGTGGGGAACACGTGGGACCGAGGGAAAACGTGGGAACACATTGGAAAAAAAGGGGAAACAATGGGGAAGATATCAAACATATTCAATAATCTATTGCTACCTCCAGTGTCATCGAACATGGCTAGCTGGGATATCCCATAAAAAAAACGGCGGATTTGGCCTTGCCAGGCTTGAGTCCCGGGCAGGTAACCAGCATAGGAAGTTGATGGATGTTGATGGGATGTCAACAACAAATGACTCAATAGGAGTTCAATGTGATTTAATAGGATGTTGATTCGATTCCGATTTAACAAATCTCAAAAATAGGAGGTTACTGGATCTTATCAAAAAAAACTTACACCCAACAAAAACTTGAGTTTTGACCTGTGTGAGATGGGGAAAACATCCAGTAAATGGAGGATATCGCAATTGGAATTCACGTCATCATTCGTCGTCGCGCAGAAATGGTCTCCTGGGATTCCTGGGCTTCGGCAGCAATTCACCAAGAAATTTTTAGCCACCGACCGAACCAACAGCAGCCATCGTTAAATGATGTTTGTTACCCCGGCCATCGAATGCCGATGATTTGGCCGTGGCGGCGGCCAAAGGACAGAAATTCACCCTGGTGGATGGCAACTTCTGAAGGAGATTACAGGAGAACTTCGGCAATGAAGCCGAGCAACCCGCATCTTAGATGCGCAGAAATGGCTATAGTTGGTTCTCCTTAAACGTTTCCAATGGTCCTATTTTACATCAGACATAGCATTGGAAAAAATCTGTGGGGAAGTCTTCACTTACAGTACTCGAATCATCTAACAATGATGGTTTTGGGGCTGAGATGCTCAATTGCCAGGAGTATCCCGAATTTCCAATGTTTCTTTCATGGCCAATCTTGGATACACTTCAGACACAAAAAACTCCTAGCAGGGTTTTGAAACATAAATATGGAGGTTTCCTAAAATGAGGGCAACCCGCTATTGGGGTAACCCCATTTATGGAACCCCCATAAAGCCAAGTTGATGAACATAGCTCAAATACCTATGGTTTATGATACTTATTAATAAAGTTAATAGGCGTTTTAAACCAATTTATGACTAGGGGGCCCCCACATCGTAGCATAGGTGATTCATTCACCCAAATATGGAAAGAATACTGTTTTGACCTATTGTAAACCATATGAGCCATGGTCAAAACTCACTATATGGTTGATGGTCATCCCATCCATAATAAGGATCCTTATAATGATTATTATAAATCCCTATGAACCATTGGATGACTAGCCCCTATTAATGGTTATTAACCATGAGTATTGACCATAGCTCATATCATTGGGCTTAGCCCATGACTATGGAACTCCACGGCCTGTCGCGGGTTACCTCCCACGGCCTGCGCTGGCGCAGCCATAGAGGGCCGCCAGATCAGTGGAATCTGCGCCAGCGGTTGGAGGTCCACCCTGCTATCTGCTTCGTTGGTGACTATATGGTTAATAAATAATAGCTAAGTATCTCAGGCTGTTAATATTAATGGTTAATATCAATGGTTAATATTAATGGTTAATATTAATGGTTAATATTAATGGTTAATATTAATGGTTAATATTAATGGTTACTATTAATGGTTAATGATAATGACTGATTGGTGGTGCAATAACCATCTTGAAAAATATGAGTTCGCCAATGGGGAGGATGACATCCCATATATGAAATGGAAAAAAAAAAACGTTCCAAACCACCAACCAGGTGAGGTTATAGTCAAGCACAATTCCAATCATAGCATGCTAAACCTCTCTGATGTGAGTGTGATATATCTACCATTCTTCTTGAGACTCCCCTGGCCCTAGCAGCATCCGAAAAAGAAAACGTTACTATGTGGTACTGTATGTACCCAGTCTAAATGGTTTTCAATATCCGCCAAATTTTACAAGTGGGCAGTGGGCTATGCTGCGTTCTTGTGTGTGTACCTCAATATAAACCAGCAACCCGAGTCATGACAAAGCTGGGCTAAAAAACGGGGTGTACAATACTTACTCACAAGATCAATCAACATAATCTCAAAAAGTCTAAGCATTTGAATTTGTCGAATCTGAGATCTGAGATACCTACCACAAAAATCTAATTTTTAAGCTACCACAAAAATCTTATTTTTAAGCTGATTAGTATACTCATATTACCATAGCAAACGATGCCATGTTGTACTAGTTCTTATCTAACCATATCAAACCAAGGTTAACCTTTATTTATAGAAGATTTCCCATGTTTCATTATATTTCATCTATGGTTTTCCTATGGCTTTGCAAAAAAAACCTCCATGATCCAACCAAGCTCCGCACCTCTGGGCAGAAGTTGGGATCAAATTGGCAACACTCCAGTAGTGTTGACCAGGAACCTGGTCGAGATCGGCGTGGCTTTTTCCGCTGACTTCGCCCTGACGAGTTTTTGGGGTCGCAACAAAGCTTAGGAGTGCCAACAACTTCTTAGAAGGTCCATGGTCAATTACTCATCTTTGGTGGTTTATGATTGGTTAGTTTGTGAACTACTCCTTTTTTGTGGCTTACGAACCATAACTATGGACCATAACCCATTAATTACAAGGGGAGATACTCGGAAGTTCCGTCACAGGAGTCGTAAGTGGGCATATGGCATTTTTCACTGACTGAGATGCACACCCAGCGTAGCCAACAAACTTTAAAGGTCCCTTAAGTGGGGCCTATCCCGTACATGAATGGCTTCTGACAGTTTCCAAGCCCGATTTTTGCCCAATGCAGTTTTGTTGCTGATAGTCATCCCCAAAAAAGGAAAAGTGAACAAAAACACTGAAACAGTGATAGATATGTTTTTTTCCTATCTTCTTGGGGATTACTGTATATACCCATTCGATTCCATTTGAAAGGGTATAGAACCAATTTTTGGATGCCCTAGACGGAGGAGACCCAGGCAACGTTAGGTGACCCTGATCATCAAAAGTGGGGCGCCCGGTCGATAGCTAAGTTGGTGAACATAACTCCAATACCTATGGTTTATGATACTTTTTACTATAGTTGATAAGGTTTTTAGGGGGATAATCAATAAGTTAGTGTTAATATCCCAATTGATTATATCGTTTATAGTACCGATAAAGTATCCCTATCCCAATAACTATAGTTTATGGTACTTATAGTTATATTTACTGGGGTTTATAAACCAACAAACATCACTGGGGGGGCCCACATTGTAGCTATAGTTAGATTGGTCTATAAATCAACAAACATAACTGGGGGACACCCCCTTGAACCTTGAACGATTGGTAAGTAGGTATAGTGATCAGTCAAGTCACTCGGTACCCTGATAAAAACACTAAACGAACGGTGGGATTTATGGATGTTCATCCGAGGTTTTGACCATTTTGACCAATGCCCACCGAGCATGCTGGCTGGTGGTGCAATAACCATCTTGAAAAATACGAGTTCGTCAATGGGAAGGATGACATCCCATATATGAAATTGAAAATACTCATGTTTGAAACCACCAACCAGAATGAGATTTCACCAACTATCCCTGTCTGTTGACTCTGTTTTTGGGGCTTTCCTGCGACATTTTCCCGGAACATCGCATGAAATATGGCATGAGATAGGAATAAGGGCCTGAATGGGGTCTAATAATGACAAAATAATCATCAACCAAAGAAGAAATGTACTATTGATGATCGGGAAAAAACATATAAAAACATATTGTGCTCTAATGGGATTTAAACATATATGGCGCTTAAAATCCAAATTGGCTAGTGTAATCCACAAACAAATCATCAACCAAAACAAACGAATCAATGCTTGGTTGAAAGGATTTTCCAAACTCGTATCATAATCCCAATGTATTGGGCAAAATCACCCCCAAAATAGTTAATAATCATCACAAACCATCATTTATCAATTGTATGCCCATATGTTTGATGGTTAAAGCCCACAAATCTCCTATGAATGATATTAAAACGACGAGCTAACCATCAACCAAACCTAAAATCACAATTAAATCTTCGTCAAATCAAAAAAACAACTTCCATTAAACCATCCTTTCCCGCTAATGAATCCCTATACAACAGCTAAAATCCCTATACTAATGGTGGTTAACATCCCATGAAAACATCCCATGAAAACATCCCATTAACATCAACATACACACGGTGAATCAACCAATCTTAAAATAGGGGATACCCAGTCGTCACCATAGGTTTTTTTCATGGTAAAATGCATGAAAATATGATCTAATGACTTGGATGATGACTGGGGGTACCCCCATGACTGGATGGAAACCTTCATGTATATATTATATGATGGTTAATTTCTCCTAATGTGGTTGAAACAATAATGAACCATCCCCCAAATCACCATAAATAGGTGGCATACGGTATAAACCATCAAAAATGGGGTGGTTTATGATTGTTTTACCCTCATTATTCTGGGTAAATTACAATTCTTCACTAACCTGAAACTTGCGGTCATTTGGGGATAGTTACCCCTACTAACCACCAACCAATAACCAGTTATTATCAATTATTGTTAATGGATGTAAATGGCTAATCAATCACTAATTAATGAATAATTACTGGATCCATTTACAATTATTGATTTGTTCCTGGTTAATCATTATTGTTATTATCAATAACCACTAATTAATGGATTATTGTTAATCCCCAGGAACACTGTGTGCCTGTGCCACAGCGCGGCGCGGCATCGCCGACGCTTCCGAGGAAGCCGCCCACGCAGCGGAGCTCGGCGTGGGTTCCCGGCAGGGCCTTGAGAGGAGATCCCGCTCTAACGAGGGCCGGTGGAAGACGTAGAAATGGTGGATTTAATGGGGATTGATGGGGAATTAAATGATTTTTTAATGGAGATTTATAAGATTATTTGGTAATTTAACGGGATTTATGTTTTTTTGGTTGATTTCATGGGCCATGGGAATTTATGGTGATTTTATGGTGATTTCAACGGACGCAATGGGATTTTATAATGATTTGATGGGGATTACAGTAAGTGTATCTTTTGCTGAATTAGACACAATGTGTTCACTTAAGTTTTCTTTGGTGATATAATGAGAGAACATGTTTTCTTTAAGAATTTGTTCATGTGAATTTTATGCTGGAAGAGGGAATGAACCTAAACCACTTATAACCACTTGGGATGGGATGGGTAAATTGGGATGTGGCAAGCAGGATGTAAACCTCCTATGGATCGGCTAAATTTGGGCACCAAGTTGCAAACCATTGGGGATAGTTTTGATGAACAGAAAATGTTGTTTTTTCATGGAGATATATGGAGATCATAGGATTTTCGATTTAAAAAAACCTACAGGATTAATGAACCTCAGCACCAATGAAACGTTTATGTGATTGTTTGTTGGTTGAATGGAGATCTCATAGGATTTCATGAGTTTTGTGGAGATTTCATGGGAACTTATGCTTGAACAGGATTTACTGGGAATATCATGGGAACATCTTGCCGAAATTTTGCCCCAATCAAATGTGGAGATTTTACAACCAAGTCCCCGGTTGATGGGTTTTCCCGTGTTTTTTTTGATTGGATCAACTAAAAGTTGTTTTTGTTTCGCCGGCGGGGCTGCTTGAACCACATTCAAGCTGGAAACCTGCTCAGGGCTCGAAGTCTTTGTTTCTCTGATTGCAATTGACCTCCAAGGCAAATCAGCAAAGGCCGTGAAGCAATCCTTGGCCGTTCAGATTGGTGTTCCCAGATTTCGACAACGCTTATTTCGTGAAGACAGCTCTGATCAGATTCCTGACGGAGAGGTTTTTATCTCGACCTCTGTCTTCCTTCGCTGTCTCTGTCAGCCAGGTTTTCTTTGCGGGACGGAATCGGTCCAGCCGCCAGGCCAACTCACAAAAACATCGGTATGGCACACATGGCATGGCATCACATGTGGGCCTCCCAAAATTGAAAATGGATGTACTCGATATAGAAATTGGGAGGTAGCCACTATCAGACATGGAGGTTGATATTTGGATTCTCAGAGGTAAATTCGTTCATAAACACATGCGATGGGTTTACCGTTCTTGCAAGTGGGGATGGGAAATAGAAAAGAAGCTACCAACTAGCATGATTAATCTAAGATACCCTACAGGATGGTGCCCGCCCTTAAAAAATGGTTGATAAACCCTATTAGCTATAGTAATAGGTGTCATAAACCATAGTTATCGGAGTTATACAAAAAACTTCGCTATCTCGGGGGCCCCACTTTGTACGAAGTATTGTTTTTCATAGGGTATGCTACTTTTTGTCGTAGGCTTCACCTTTACCCAGACTATGCTGTATCTTATTATGTAAGTGGGGTTGTCCAAACATGGGAGAGAGAGAGAGGAACCAAGAAACTGACATTTTCTGCAGCGTTCTGACGGGTGAAAATTACGATGAACCAATATTTATATAATGGGAATTATTGTTTTTTTATACATATAACTAGGCACTCGACTCTCACTGATACGATATATAACCAATGGGATTAAGCAATGGTTTATAACGACAAAGGTTAGCCTAGTTTTAGACAAACCCAAGTAAGAAAATCCTCACCCATCTCCATCCCCAATGGATGAGTGACGTGCTAAACACAACATGTTTTTTTAACAAAAGCCACGAAGATGATGTAATGTGAGGTTTGAATTACCCCCTGGCTATTTAACATAGCCATGGTATAGATGGACCATTTGTAGAGGTTTACCGAACTTAAAAATGGTGATTTTCCATGGCTATGTTAAATAGCTAGATGGTAATTTGCCAATCAGTTTGCCACTATCTAAAAAATGCAAACCATGCCAAAGAATCTCAATAAAAGGATGATAATCATTTAAGTAGGGATGGGGCACTAATAGGTTTCTTTGGCAATTCTGAGATACGCTCAAATTTACCCTGTGGTCAACAAACATGGTAGTGGAAAGCATTTAGGTTTGTCTGAAAAAAATGTGTACCCTTCATGATCATCTGTTCCTTATTAACAATGCCATTGGGTTCATACAAGGTGGTGCCCCCGGTCGATAGCTAAGTTGGTTTATAACTCTAATAACTAGGACTTATGGTAGATATATCTATAGTTAATGGGAGTATAAACCAACTTATAACTTGGGGGGCACCACCTTGTATTTACTATGCCTCTAGTTGCGCGGTGAAAAAAACCGACCTGACCCCCAGTGATCAAGGGACTAGCGACGATGTACTGATGGTATATCCAGGAATGCACCCAACCATGCTAAGCGGCTTCGGCCAGCAAAGTCTCAGTTAATCTGCACAGATCTTTGGGCACGAGCTGATTTATATTGAAATCCCCATGTTTGTGGGTTTTTCTGTTATATATGGGGGTTTCTATAAATGTGGGTATCCCAAAATGGTTGGTTGATAGTGGAAATCCAAATCTAATAGCTGGATGATGATTAAAGGGTACCACCATTTTTTTAGGAAACCTCCATTTACAAGCATCACCGCATTTCTCTTGGTAAAAAAAACATCGGAAGAATGTTCCTCTTGTTTTTCGTTCAACATCAAGGCGTGAAGCTCGATAGATAAGTCCAAGGATCTCTTCGGGGTAAACTCACCACCTCCACATTCTTCAAGGAACCTCATGACAGGCTGTGCTTGGAGGATCACTTAGTACATAAACAACGTGAAAATAAGCCTGGTGATACTAAGTTCGGTTATCTCATCTATTAATGGATTATAACATATTATAACTACAATGTGGGGGCCCCCCAGTGATGTTTGTTGGTTTTTAAACCCCATGAAAACCAAAATTTATCAGTATCATAAACCATAGTGATCGGAATTATGAACAATTTAGTTATCTAGGGGGCTAGGGGGCCCCACATTGTATGGTTATCAACCACTTACGATCCGTGGGATGATCCTTCAAGTGCTCAAGCGCACCTTTGGGAAAACTTTCGGCGACCTTCGGCAGATTTTCTTTAAGTGCGCAACATCATAGAGGAAGAGTTTTCCCAGGTATAAGTTGGTTTATGAGCCGAAACATGCCGAAACTATAGATACATACCGATAATTTTTCATAATTCCGAATGTTGACCTACGCATGAACCATCTTAGCTAAGTAGGGCCCCTTCCTGCAAGCGCGCGTACAAACACACACACACACAAACATGTAACAAGACACTCAATGTAACCCATTCAAAATTAGAATGCTCCCCAATAAACTTACGACTTTAACCACTTTGTCAAACTAACAATTCACCAGCATCTACGCAACATCCTAGACTTGGATAAAAGGAAAAATGAAAGGAACACCTCAAATGTCATCTGAGAACAAAAGAAACCAAACCAAACATCGTTTTCCAAACTTGTCAGTGAACGAAAACATGTTTTCCAGCAAATGTTATCGGAACAAAAAAACCTAACGTTACAAGGAATCTTCCTGATCGCAAGTTGGGTCCATATATTCAACCCCAAACCTGGGAAAATGATGTTTGAACCCAAAATTTTAGAACTTTCAAACCTTTCTACAATGTGGGCCCCCCCAGTTATAAGTTAGTTTATAAACACCATGAAAACTATAGTTATAAGTACCATAAACCATAGCTATCTTGGGGGCCCACATTGTAGGTGATATTTTTGGAGGGCCTAGGTATTCCCCAAAACAAATCTCAGATTTTTCGGGTCCAGCTGGCTGACTGCAACCAGGAAACTGGCGACCAGTCGTGGACATAAGACCAATGGACAGTAGGGCTGCTCGTGCTCGTAGAGGTCCGAAGCATCTGCAGATGACGGTGCAATAGAATGCCAGAATAAAATCAATGGGAATTTCAGGATCCTAAAATGGAGGTACGTTAGTATCATATAAGGCCATATTTTGTGGGGATATTCCCTTACATAGGCCTTACATAGGCCTTATATATGGTAGGTACCTCCAATTTAGGTTCCTGAAATGGCCATTGATAAAATGTCAGAAAATCTGGGGGTGTTCATAAATGGGGGATCTCCAAAATGAATGGTTTAGAATGGAAATTCCAAATCTAATAGCTGGATGATTTGGGGTACCCCCATTTCAGGAACCTCCATATGCCATACAATGTGGGGCCCCCCAGTGATGTTTGTTGGTTTATAAACCCCATTAACTATAGTTATTTGTGTACCATAAATCATAGTGAACTTGGAGTTATGTTCACCAACTTAGCTATCATAAATCAGCTATAAATCCCATGAAATCACCATTTTCCCATGTTTTTCCTACGTTTTTTGTATATACTTCCAGTTCTGAGATGTCTGAAACTCTGACACAACTGGATGTCAAACAAATGACCCAAACTGATTTCACACCGTATACCTATTTTATCTAATCAAATTTGCTTAGACAATAGTATAACAGATCATACTTAGATGGGCCATGGAGTTAGGGACAACTAGTTAGTAGCCATGGATTATTTCATTGGGATTTTTCGTGGGTAACAAATCCCCAGTTACTAACCAGGAATCGCGTTTTTCCCATGGCCCATCAAAGTAGACAATAGATGACAATAGTAGAATAGCGTTTTTTTGGTCCCACATTGTGGGCTCCCAGCACACGTTTGATCATGCCCCACCTGAAGGATCCAAGCTCTGCCCATAAAGCCGGAAGAGCGTCCGCCAGCCTTGGGGATTGAGCGCTCGTGCTTGAGGTGACGTGGGAATTTTCATGGGATACAACCTGTTCACCTTACTGATTCAATGGGACTTCATGATGGTATATATCTGGTTGGTAGTTGAGCCACCCCTCTGAAGAATATGAGTTCGTCAGTTGGGATGATGACATTCCCAATATGATGGGAAAATAATCCAAATGTTCCAATGTCTAAACCACCAACCAATATGTATATATATATATTATATGGGAATCTGGGTAAAGTACAATATTTCACTAACCTGAATTTGATTTAAGGCCATTTGGGGATGATCTCCCTAACATAAACCATGATTCCAGGGTTCGGGAGAACAGGGTTCGGTCGTTATAATTGATCAAATTTACCCAAATATATGATGATTCAATGGGATTTGGTGGTCATTCGACCAACAAAGATGGTGATTTAATGGGATTTGTTGGGATTTAACCATCATACATGGTGATTTACTGGGACTTCATCAATAAGACATGGTGATTTTAAGGGGTGTCAATCTTTCAGCGTACTGCAATTTTTTGTGCTTGGCTCATGCAACTGCTTCCGTGGCTCCCAGCCATCCAACCACTGAAGGCCGCTGATTTTTCGCAAGAAGAACGGGTGATTTTGATGGGAACTAAACTGTGATTCAATGGTATGGAAAACCATGTGTTTCTTAATTTTTAGATGGAACCATTTGAATGACGTTAAGTGTTAATTATCGGCACTGCCTGCCTTGCAACTATATAGGCATACCCTCTAGTAACATCTATAGTAACCTAACATAGTCACCGAAAATGGCCGTGTTTAATTTCTGGAAGTCAGCTACAACTTTGGCAGTGTTCCATTTCTGTATCCACCATAAATCCCAGTTAGCTTATTCATTCATCAACTTGGCAATTGTAGACACTACGTTGTAGATATCCTACCAAGTTCTTGCAGCACCTTGAACGAAGGAAATCTTCCACACTTCTTGCATGTGCATCCAAGTGAGTCAGTGGCCAATATATAACCAAATTCTAGGTCGGTTATATATGTGGGAGCTATACAGCGGATATATATATATAACTATTATATATAATATATATATGATTATATATAATATAATGTATACGCATATCATAGGTTCTTGTCCACTTAATAAATTCAAGCACGGCCATGGCAGTGTCAGTGTTGGACCGTTGGACCTTTCGCAATATTCCTGAGAAGTTCCAGTTCTTGCAATGGATACTCTGCAAATAGCTATCATCCCATCACAGAATAAGCCTGACATGGAAAGGGCATCATACTACCCCATGTATATATATATATATATTATATAAATATATATATTATATATATTCTGTGTTTGTATATGGTGATAATCGTTGGTTCATGGATTCTGATCTTCATGCTAAATATTGGATGTGCAAAACCAATTTTCTCGCCATTCTAAAAACCTTCAGTCACTCGCGGATCAAATTGAGGAAACCCTTACGCGAAGTCCTTGCGCAAGTGCGGCTTTTACTTACGCCAAACGCATTATGACAAGGCCCTTACCAAAATTGCAAATTGATTTTTTTTAGGGCAGCTCAATTCAAAAACAACCTCCAAACGGGGTTTATGAAATTGGGTATCTCCTTAATTAAAAATGTTATGATGCAAAAGGACCCCCGAATGGATGGTTACTGGGATGGCAATCGTCGCAGATTTTTTGGAGAACTCCCCCCATGATGAATTGTCAAATCATGTTCAATCCACTATGTTAAATCCCATGAAATCTCACTATAGATTCCATTGAATTACCACAAGGGCTATTAAAATCCCATGAAAATCGTTGGCTATTAAAATCTAATTAAAACTGATAGGACTTAGATTAATCACCCACTTAACTCCTGTTAAATCCCATGAAAATCTTGCTAATTTTTTCGTTAACCCTCGTAGCTGCGGTACCGGACCGTCGTTGGCGTCGCGGACATCGAAGTCAGCAGACGGCAGGGGCCAGCCGAAGTAGAGATCTCCAAGATCCAGGTCCTGCAGTATCTCTTTAAACAAGGGGTCAGCATCCCCTTGGAAAATGTACGTCCAACAAAGTAGAAATTAAACATATGCTAGAAAATCGTAGTTCCATATTTTCTTTATAGATGTAATTCGATATTTTTTCTTTTCCATATTTTGGGAATTCCCAAAATGGGATTTATAGATGTTTTATTTTAGCTAAGTTGATGAAGAGTTCACCAGATTAACCATGGTTGATTAGGGGAATGTAACAATAGTATTCATGGGTTTATAAAACAACTTATAAAACGTTTGCTGCACGCCAAGACACTTAGACTTACTTTGTATCCAGACAAGATACCAAGACCTCTTTGTTTTTCACAGAAAATTGGGATTTAATGGTAAGTGTTGGCAATTTATTCGGATTTAATGGTGCTTGAATGGGATTTCATGAGGGGAAAATGGATGAAAATGGTGGTTTACTGGGAATTTCCAATGGATTTTCAATGATTTTCAGGGGATTGTGTCGGATTTAATGCGAATTTCAGCCATGAACACCAGACCCCAGACCCCTTATCTGGATTTCATTTCCTTTTACCTTTTCTGGTAAAGGGGCTTCCACAAACCTTCAGCTCATGGCCTTGGCCCTACACAGAGAACACCAAAACCCAAGCCTCAAACCGACCCCAAGCCCCACATCCCAAACCCCAAGGACCAGAACAAAAGACCACCACACCCCAGACCCCAAACTAGAAATTCAGTTCCCATTACCTCCTGGTGGGCCAAGTTCCACCAGGGATATCTGGTAAGGGACTGCCAGAAACCTTCTCCTCAAGACTTTGACCCTACACGCAAGACACCAAAACCCATACCTCAAACTCCAGGCCCCATCCACCACATTCCAGACCCCAAAACCCAGAACATCTGGCTTTCAGTTCCCTTACCTCCTGGTCGGCCAGGTCCCACCAGGGATATCTTGTAAAGGGGCTTCCAGAAACCTTTAGCTCATGGCTCTGACCCTACACACAGAACACCAAAACTTAAACCTCAAACCCCGGACTCCAAACCCCAAACCCCAAAGACCAGAACACCCACCAGGCAGAAAATGTCAGTGGAAGAAAGGGCTCAAGGAAGAGAATGTCAGTGGAAGAAATGGTTAATGGAAGATAATAAACCCTTTATTGTTGCAAAATTTGTTCTATCATACACAATATATATATATAGTATAATACATATGATTGAATCATATGATCTTGTCATTTATTTTTTTTTTATGAATTGATTTATTCATGTTCCATCCTCTTCAAGCTATGGGTAAGGAAAGAATTGCGCCCATGCACAAGCTTTATCTCTAAACTTTGTACACCGGGCCATCTTTCTGCCATCATCGTCCATGTGGGACCAAGTGGCAGTATTGTCTTGACACTGCGGGCACTTCCATAGCGGGGCAGCCTCCCAGTCCGCATCACATGCAGGGCCTTCCTTTCAGGGCTTCATGGCCAGGAGGCACTTGCCGCGCCCGTCGCCTGAGCTGCCTTTGGAGTGGCAGGGGCATCTGGTGCTGCTGCAGCTGGCTTCTCCTTCTCGTCCTATACCGAGAACCTATAGATTGTATCCAGGATAAGTAATACAGTGGTGCCGAAATCTTGGGATACAGTGGATTTTCCCACGGGCGTACAATTACCTAGAGCTTGCAAGAGGAAAAGCAAGCCATTTGGGAGACAAAAAAATGGTAATGTGGTTAAAAACAATTCAGTAATGCGGTTAAAACAATAATTAATGATCATTATTTATCAATTTCAGGAATAAAAGGATATATAACTCAAGAAAGTAGGGGTAACTATCCCCAAATGAACAATTCAGGTTAGTGAATTTTGATAATTTACCCAGAATAATGTGGTTAAAACAATGCCATAAACTACCCATGACTGGGAATGGTAAACATACCACCTATCAACATGGTGATGACTGGGGGATGGTTTATGGCATTGTTTTGACCACATTAATACAGATATAACTCAAGAAAGTCGAGTTTCAAAATTGTGGAATTTAACTTAATCAATTTCAAGGAATATACCCTCCGTTAATTTAACATAGCTATTGAAAATTGCCATTGAAATAGTGGATTTACCCATGAATAATGGTGGTTCTCCAGTTCGCTACGTTAATTTACCAGACGGTAAGCAACAAATTTCGTGGGACCATTTTGGACATCTGTCCCCGGAATGCCCTGGACCGAGATCAGATTGGAAAAGCATCAGACTGGAATAGTGAACTCACTATTTGGGGCTACCTACAGGGTGCCCGTGATCTTTGTGAGCTTACAAACAATTGAGTACTATAGCTGGTTGGGAGTTGAGCCACCCCTCTGAAGAATATGAGTTCGTCAGTTGGGATGATGACATTCCCAATATATGGAACAATAAAAACTGTTCCAGACCACCAACCGGTATAGTGATATTCTCCCATAAACTGTTGACATCTATTGACCATATTTATCATAGTGAACTAAACCAACTTAGCTATCCAGGACCCAACATGATAGTTCATCAGGGTTTCTTGAGGTGGACACACCAAGACACTTAAAGTATGCACAAAAAGGGGGTAGAAGGTGGTGCCCCCAAGATAGCTAAGTTGGTTTATAACTCTAATAACTAGGACTTATGGTAGATATATCTATAGTTAATGGGATTATAAACCAACTTATAACTTGGGGGGCACCATCTTGTGGGTAAACATCTTGAAATACTTGGGTCAAATACCAATTTTGGCCATCAGTGGAATGTCTGGGTAGGAATCAAATCGCGCGATGGATTCCCGAATTGGTGCATTCCTCAGAGCGAAACACACCAAGATCTTCAGCAAATCTAAAGGATATAGTCATGTACAACTGGATATAGGATATTCATATGGATATTCTCACGTATGGGCGTGTCTAAGTATTCTGGTTGGTGGTGCCATAACCATCTTGAAAAATATGAGTTCGTCAATGGGAAGGGTTATCCCATATATTATGGAAAATAGTTTCAACGCCTCTGAAAAATGATGGCGTTCGTCAGTTGGGATGATGACATTCCCAACTGAATGTAAAAATAATCCAAATGTTCCAAACCACCAACCAGATCCTATGGTTTTCCTATGGTTTTCCTATGGTTTTCCTATGGTTTTCCATGTTCCAAACCACCAAGCAGTATTAAAGTGGAAACATGATGATAAACCCATTTTTCGGGGTATCCAATTAAACCCAAAAAAGGCGGCCAGATACTCCGACAGGTGAGGCCACCCTATAGTTTTCTGAGATGTTATAAGTTGGTTGAAATAAACCCATGAATGCTACAATGTGGGGTCCCCAAGATAGCGTTCAGTTGGTGCACATAACTCCAATATCTATGGTTTATGGTACTCAAATAACTATAGTTTTCATGGGGTGAATCTAAACCAACGTTCACATCACGTTTGGGGGGCCCATGAATACTATCGTTACGTCATATCCCGATCCCAATAAACCCTACTTCGCCAATTCGCTATCAATCAACTATACAAGGTGGTGCCCCCGGTCGATAGCTAAGTTGGTGAACAAAACTCTAATTTCACTAGGACTTATGGTAGATATATCGAACTAGTTAATGGGATTATAAACCAACGTTCACATAACTTGGGGGGCACCACCTTGTAAATCCCAAAAAACATCCCTATTTTTGTTGGTTATATTAACATCTTCCTAGGGGAACTCACCTTGTACCAAGGTACAGAAATTCTACCCTAATTTGGGTGCACCGCCCCTGCAAGGTGGTGCCCCGCAAGTCATGTTTGTTGGTTTATAGTCCCACTAAGTAGATATATTCTGGTTGGTGGTTTTAACCATCTTGAAAATATTAGTCAATAGGAAGGATTATCCCATATACTATGGAAAAAATGTTTGAAACCACCAACCAGTATATATATATAAATAAATACACATATATATATATACCATATAAGTCCTAGTGAAATTAGAGTTATGTTCACCAACTTAGCTATCGACCTCCACCGCCTTGTGGAGAAACCTGAGGTTCCCAGCGTTTTGCAAAGTGGAGTTGTAGTCCACCAGGTCTGGTAACACGATCCATCCCTGCAATGATCAGACGACGCTAAGAGAGCAACGCTCGGACATCATGGGGGTCATGAAAAAATGTGCCATAACTATAGTAATAGCCCCACATTGTACCAATTATATCCAGTTATTCGGGAAGGGTTTGATCCAGTGACTGGCGGCACTGAAAATTTGTCCTACAGACGGTGCTTTAATTGCAAATGGCGTTGGGTTGAACCATGATCCATAACTATTCATAGTTTATCATAACTATTGGTTATTAACCATAGTAAAAAGTATGGGATGATGATGGACTATACTGAGATGGGCCATGGAGTTAGGGAAAACTAGTTAGTAATTTCGAGGACGGCGCGAAGACTACCCGTACAGTGAATGAGGCGCACTTCTCTACGTGCCCCAGTATGATGCCTGATGTCTTGCAGAATGTCTCAGCGATCGTCACAAAACAGCACTGCCAGATGTGGTCCAAGCGGAAGGGATTGAATCATATCTGCCTTTGACCAGTCTTGGCGGTAACGACAATCCCTTCGCAGCGGGCGGGGCGACACCACAAATGGCACAGCTACACCTGCAGCTTGGCTGAGGCGCTGCACAAACTGATGAGAATTGTGCACTGTTTCTTCAGCCCGGCAGTAACTCAGACAACCAACTTTCAGCCCACGTTGATCAAGCTCCTTGATGATTTGTAGCGACTCGTTGAAGCTGAGATCCAAGACCCCGTGATAGTCGAACAGGGCAAGCAAGCTGTATCCCTCAAGAGGAAGCAACCCTAGCTCCTTAAGCATCACCTGAGATGCTTGGCGGGCTCTGGGTTCTCTGATCAACAGGGATACATCTTGGGATGATTTCATTGGATTTTTTTGTGGGTTATATCCCCAGTTACTAACCAGGAATCGCGTTTTTCCCATGGCCCATCTAAGTACCCATGTGAAGAAGACAACGAACTAGTTGAATCCAATAGAATGTTTCATGAAAGATTGAAGACTATGAATACGTGCCCAAACTTGGATCGAGAATAGTCGTCGATGGAGTTGCATTGTATCCCAATCAACTCACATCAGCAAACCCACGCAAATAGGACTTAGAGCCCAAACCACATACAAGGTGAGTCTCATCTTGCACCAAAGGTGGGCTTTCGAAGCAAGCTGGTAGAGTTTATGGTCGTTTTTCATGGGTCCTACTGGGTCCAAAATCGGTGATTTTTGATGGTGATATGAAGGGGTATGTAACTTATGCAACGAACAATCTTTAATATTCTTGGATGTTTCATTTTCAGCCACAAAAAACTACCCCCCTGACCCTCTCGTGCCAGCGTGGTTCGATCAAACGTGCCTCCTGTCTAGCTCTCCAAATGATTTCCTGCACCGTTCGGTTCAGGCGAAATTCATTGAGGCTGGAGTCAGGGAGAATGTTTTCTTTCAATATATCACCGGGTCTCGGTGCATGATCTCTATTGTTGACATCCAAATTCCAAGGAGCATCTTTAAGCTACCGCCAACGCAATGCGCGGAGTGTATGGGGGATTGGACCAACTCTAATGGTGACTGCAACACGGCGACGGACAATCCCCTGTTGGCCGAGAATTTTTGCGGATCATTGCAGAAATTCGAGGATTTTCCAGCGATTGCCAGGGAGTTTTGAGCTGTCAGGTGGATGACTGTGAACAATGGGACGCCTCGGGTGGGTGGCAGCAAGCTGATCATGGGATGTACCCTCTGGTAATTTAACATGGCTATTAAAAAATTGCCACTTATAGTGGATTTTCCCATTAAAAATTGTGATTTTCCATAGCTATGTTAGTTTACCAGAGGGTATATGAGATAGAACCCTAGATTCCCCCTCAAACAGGTATGAATGGTATGAACTTTTAGCATGATATCATAGATATCCTCCAACAAAATGGGCGAGACAAAATAACCCATCCACCTTGCACCAACGATTACTGACCGGTGACTGGTCAGCTCCAAACGCTGTCAAATGCTGTCAATTCCTGATCTGAGAATTTACTAACCTGAACAGCTCGGCCGTTTGGGATAGTTAACCTCTGGTTATTTAACGTAGCCATGGAAAATCACCATTTTTAATAGGTAAACCATCTATAAATGGGCCATTTTCCATGGCTATGTTAAATAACCAGATGGTAACCCCAATCCAATTCTCATCATTCCCGTCGTGACGTGATGTCCTTCAAATTTATCCAGATGTTGATATTCTATGCTGGTTGGTGGTATACCTACCCCTCTGAAACATATGAGTTCGTCAGTTGGGATTATGACATTCCCAATATCTGGACAAACAAAACATGTTCCAAACCACCAACCAGCAAAGATGATGTTCATTGATTCCAAAGTTCAAAAGGGTGATTTTCCATAGCAATGTTAGTTTACCAAAGGGCATCCTCTGGGAAATCCAAATCATCATACCTTCAATTTTTTAGTGGATAAATTAAGATCCCATGGGGATCAAGAAATTGGTCGCCAACAAAACGATGGACAAATTCCAGATTCAATGAGGATTGATTTACAGGATCACCTTGTAACTCGGAACTCTGTAGCCTCTGGTAATGGTTCTTACAGATCGCTATGAAAAAAATGGCCCATTTACAGCTGATGAAAATGACAATTCAGATGCTGATGTTCCATCGCAAACGACTATAGTGACTATAGTAAGTTTACCAGAGGGTAAGTGGGTTATGCTCACCCAGTTATCATTGGAATAAACCATGAATCAGGGACTTTCTATATAGCCACGGTTAATTAGTAAGCATGCAGGTTTATAAGTGGGACGATCAACAAAGTAAACCAATAAACAATTTTTGAAAAAATAACAAGTGAAATAACACATATATTCAAACATAACAAGTCACAGGATGCAGTAGTCATTATTTTTCAAGTCATGTCCATTAAAAAAACTATATAATCCCACCCCCCATTGATATGTATATATATATATAGTTATATAAAAGGCTGTATAAACCAACATTCACATAATGTTTGACCCCACATCGTAAAACCATTCGAAATGTTACGCCGTGTAAACACGGACAGATCGGTCCTCAATGGGCGTGGTTTCATTCACCATCACTTCACTCACCGAACCTGCGTCCTGGGTCCGGTCTTCAGACCCGTCAGGTGGTCAGGTGCTAGGGAAATCAGTGGCAAAAAGGGAAAATGTTCCAAGAAATTGTGAGATTCATTGGAATATGGGATATGGGTGGGAGATATATTCCAACTATGTATATGTATATATGTATATATACAGATCTATTTATATATATATATATTTCCAAGTATTCAAACTTGATAGTGGACTTCATTGGAATATAAGTTAGAATACACTTGGAAAAATACTGGGACATTTCTGTCCAATAATTTAACATAGATATGGAAAACACACGAGACATTTCTGGGTCATGTTCCTTCAACATCCATTCGATCTGCTTGGAAGATCATCCCAGGAATCAGAACTGGTTGATCAGTGGGGTTAGTTCAAACAGTAAATCTAAGCCACTTACAAGGGGGTGCCCCTCTGGTAAATTAACAAAATCCATTGGAAAACCATAGGAAAATCATAGGAAATTGGGATTTCATTGGGAAGCTAGTAAAGTAAAGGGGATCCTGGCATCTCGCAAAAAAGGAATGAGAGTGCAGGCTAGGGAAAAGTTCATGGGCCAAGTATTGGTGAATATTGTTTATCAGTAGGCTAGCTACTTGATGGTGAAGTGCCACTCCCAAGTAGGTTACACCCCTGGTTTAGTTAGTGGGATAAGTAGGTGGTGCCCCCAAGATAGCGTTCAGTTGGTGAACATAACTCTATTTTCACTAGGAATTATGGTAGATATATCGAACTAGTTGCCATGGGATTATAAACCAATGTTCACATTGGGGGTCACCACCAAACGTATCAACCATACTTATCCCACTTATACTATACACATCTATACACTATACCAAATGGTAATATACATTAATATACCCTATACTGGTTGCTAGTTCAATTCTAAGCCACTTACGAAAAAAGGATCACCCGCCGCCGCTAGGCTCGGGGATGAGTTGAACGTGACAGGTTTCCAGTTACTTACGGACTCCGCGCGGGATGATTCATGGAAATTAGCTATATGTTTGATGAAGAAAAAATGTGATTTACTGGGATTTAATGGGATTTACCCTCTGGTAAACTAACAGTTTGCGAACTGGAAAATCACCATGCTATTAATGGGTAAATCAACTATTTCTATGATCATGGCTTCAATAGTCTTGTAACAAGTTACCAGAGGGTACCAGAAAACATGGCTTCCAGAAAACAGTAGAAAACAAAGGAGTTGAATTTGATTCTGCAAAACCTATTCTGTATGGAAAAGGGATATTGTTTTATATATAGAACTCTAAATTGAGTAATGTGGTTAAAACAATGTCATAAATCACCCCATAAAATTGATGGTCGATACCACCCATAAAAATGGTGATGACTCGGGGATGGTAAACATGACATTGCTTTAACCACATGATGCCCATCCCAAATACCAGCCCTTCATGGCAATATTCGATCGAAGTGGAAGGAACTTTGAACGCTCGCCTGGTGTTTTGAAAGAGCCTCCAAGTAGAGCTTCTGAACGTGACCGATTCTCACCCACCAACATGAGATTTACCAGATTTTCATGAATCAATGTCCTTAAAACCCTCTGTTTTCATCCATTTATTTATAGATGATATTCCCATGAAAAGATCATTTTGAATGGTAGTCCCTGTAGATCTTATCACACGTTTGGCGGGTACCTTCCTATACAATTTGGGGCCGCCAAGATAGCCAAGTTGGTTTAGTTCACTAAAACAATCTGGGTAAATTATCATAATTCACTAACCTGAATAGTTCGGCCCGTTTCCTTCCCATAGAGGCCTGTGTCCAGCAGCTGCGGAACACAGACCCTTTGTCAAAGTTCAGTTCGGCCATTTGGGGATGATTCCCCTAAAATTAACGATGATTTCTAATAACGGCTTAGGTAGAACAGTCAGGTCATTATGGGGGATATAACTTTGATTCTCTGCATGGCCTCCCGTATCATCCATTGAAATTATGCTCAAAACTTCCCAGCCATTTTTGACGCAAAAAAAAGAACTGAATCTCGATGGATTGGTTTTTACCATTAAATATGGGGTTTTCCTGTAAATTTTCCAGGAAACCATGGTTTCACCATGATTTCTATGGGGTTTTCCTGTAATTTTTCCCGTAAACCAATCCATTGACATCCCATTCTCTCCATGAAATCCACTTTTTTTGGTTAGCCTCTGGCATTCTGGGATTACGATGAGGATCCGGGGAGTGCAGTCATCTGAATTAGAAAAAAAAAATTCAGGATCCCAAAATGGAGGTACGTTAGTACCATATTTCTGGCCATATTTTGGGGGTATATCCCCTGAAATTTAGGCCTGAAAAATAGGCCTTATATATGGTAGGTACCTCCATTTTAACTGGTTGGTGGTATACCTACCCCTCTGAAAAATGATGGAGTTCGTCAGTTGGGATGATGACATTCCCAATATGAATCCAATTGTTCCAAACCACCAACCAGCCATGCATTCATTATCCCATGTCATTGGGAAAATCATTATCATTGAAAGAACAATTTGGAATAATCACTCGATACCATGTAGAATATCGTTGTTCATATAGTGATTGTGTTTTCATTCGTTTTCATTCAGTATGTCAGTTATCAAATCTCTACTTGTCAAGTACCCCATAATCCCAATAAATACATAATGCCATTTTCATGGGACTTTAATGGGATATGGCCCGTCTTTTCCTAATTTTCATCATTACAAGGTGGTGTCCCCCAGTTATAAGTTGGTTTTTCGTTTCACCCCATTAAACTACCACTTTATAAGCCATAGTTATATCTACCATAAAGGTCCCCCAACTTATCAACCTGGGTGAAATCCATAAACTTATGGTAGTTTAGTGTCCCCATTTAGAATTAAACCAGGTGGATATATCTACCAAAAACCATACATTTCACCCAGGTATGTTCACCATGGCTAACTTTGATGCCATTCGTCTAATATGATCGGTCTTCTACAAGCTATCTAGTGATTATTCATGAATCAACAAATCACTATCATAGCAAAAAAACACTAGAGTCAATAGAATCATTCATCTTACATTCTATTGATGAACCACTACCAATAATCACTATAACAACCACCGTTAGTTATTTCACATCTATACTAATCATCGATATCCACATTAATTAATCACTATAACCAGCAAAGCATGGTCAATATTTTATTTTGCTGGTGTTTTTTTTTTTTTTTTCCATTTACCCTCTGGTTATTTAACATAGCCATGGAACATTGCCCAATTATAGATTATTTTCCCAGCTAGAAACCTCCATTTATAAGGGATTTTCCATGGCTATGTTAAATAACCAGATGGTATAGCAAAAAGTCAAGGGATTAGTTCCTATCCAGTTGGGGATGAATAACACCCTCCCCCTATATCACCATCATAGTTAATCATTGACTAGTCACTATAATCATGAAATATTGCCATGACTTATCCAGATTGTTATCATTCACTATCATTCACATATGGGCTTTCCAGATCATTTACCCAGATTAGTGGGAGATTCCCATTAAGTATCCCCATATGGTTAAATATACCATAGATATCAACTAAATTCCATTAATTGTCGTGAAATCCCAATGACAATAATGGTGAACATCAAGTTCCATTCAGTTCCATCAAATCATATCAAATAATGGTGGTTTAATGATGGTTAATGATGGTTAATAATGACTGGTTGGTGGTTTTAACCGTCTTGAAAAATGATGGAGTTCGTCAATGGGGTTGGGATGACATCCCATATATGAAATGGAAAATAAAAGCCATGTTTGAAACCACCAACCAGATGTCCATCAAATCATATCAAATATGGTTAACATGATATAATTAAGTTCCATCAAATCATATCATATATCACCTAAGTTCCATACCATAAGGTTAAAATTACAAATCCCAATGTATCCCAATCCCATATGCTCCATGTATGTAATATTTACCAACATTTGCCCTAAAAATCACCCAGTTTTGTAGGTAAATATACCAAGGATCCGAGGTGTCGTTCACATCCAGCGGTTCCGTGGTGGTGGTCATCGTCACCGTGGTGGTGATGGGCAGTGCCACACTGGTGCCGTTGAGCCACAGGATGCTGCCAATGCCTGGAGAAGTGGAAGTGGAAGTGATCCCGAAAGTGTGGTTTCTAGGGCGGAAAACGGTGGTTTTATAATGGTGATAAACTATAAATGGTGATAAATGGTGATAAACTAGAAATGATTGAAATGGTGATAAACTATAAATGGTGATAAGTGGTTTTATGTTTCTTTCTGATTGAACATGGTGATAAACTATAAATGTGTCTTAAGCAACACAGATTTCAGAGTCTAACCCAGCAGAATTGTTGTCAAAGTAGTATTGTTTGGACCTTTAGTTACAAATAATATCTACAGGATGGGGCCCCCAGTCGATAGCGTTCAGTTGTCTTAAAGTGGCTGGATTCTATGGTTTATGGTAGATATTAAACATTATTAAACTGTAGTTTTCATGGGGTTTCTGTTAACCAACGTTCACATCACTTGGGGGCACCATCCTGTATCTGGATGACTCAAATTTTCACAAAGCTGAGACTGTCTGAAGTCAGGCCATTCAGGGATCATCCCACTCCACTCGGATGAGCCATGGTTTTCCCATTAAAACCTTAGTTCAACATCTATAAATCCAAAATTTCCATATATTTCCTATGGTTTATAGATGTTAAACTTTTATGGTTTATAAATCCATGGTTATCCTGTCTTCTGCGGCACTGCTTTGCGGCCGTGCCCAGGGGACATGGAAAGGTGTCCGAGCTATAAATCCATGGTTATTTATAGTTTCCCATGGTTTTCCTATGGTTAACTTCCTACCCACACCCCAGGGGCCCTGCCTCCGTTCTCCCAGGCATAGGCCAAATGCAGCCACCGACCCTCCGGCGCCACACGGCTCAGGTCGACGGTGAAGCGAGCCAAGTCCTGGCAATGAGAACGTGGGAAAAGCCATGGGGAAAAGCCATGGGGAAAAGTACAGGAGAACCCTGTTTAAAATATCTGGTTGGTGGTATACCTACCCCTCTGAAAAATATGAGTTCGTCAGTTAAGATCATTATTCCCAATATGATGGGAAAAAAAATGTTCCAAACCACCAACCGGTATTTGTTGGTGAAAAATCTGATCTTTTTCGTGGTAAACCATGGGAAAAAGCATGGGAAAAAGGTGGTTTCACCAAGAAATATTGTGATTTTAATGGGATCTGGTGGGATTTAACTCTCAAAACGCGGGATATGTTTGTGTTTTAATGGAATGTAGCCAAAGACGGTACTAGGCGAGGCCCCGTTTACGATAGCTAAGTTGACGCATCTAATTTGGTTAAATCCGGTTCATGTGGAGGATTTGATTATAGTTGATGGGTTTATAGATCAACTTTTTAGATCCTTTGCTAATTCTATGCCGTTGTTATAGATATATCAAATCTGTAGCATCCCCTAACATTGAATAGGAGTGGATTGGGGAAACCTAGAGAAAAGGCCAAACACATGTTGAGTTTTTCTGCTAACGACGTGTAACGACAACTCACATGGAGCGCTGAATCGCAACTGCTCCGAAAATGATGTCATTGGGTTGGTCGCAAGATAAAGTCCAAAACATGTTCGGTTCAACATCAGTAGACATCAAACATGACATAGTAAAATGAATATGGATCACATTCTTTGTTCCCATGATAATTCCATATGATTCTCAATCGGGGATGGGTCAAAACCTATTATTTCCATATTGTGGTGGTTTATAAACCCTATTAACTATAGTAAACCATAGTGAAATTGGAGATATATGGATATTTATGGATATACACTATAGATATATCACCTATAAACATCTATAAACCATAGTTATTGGGGTCCCCCCAGTAATGTTTGTTGGTTTATAAACACCAGTAAGTATAGTTATGTGCGTATCATAAACCATATTTATTGGGTTTAATGTTCAGCAACTTAGCTATCATAAATCAGCTATAAATCACATGAAACCCCATTTTCCTATGGTTTTCCTATGGTTTGCACCAGGCTTTCGACTCAGTTCGCAACACGGTGCTAGGCCTCAGCGAGCTGAACGGTGAGATTGCCGCCCCTCACCACCATGTGGGGCGTGGTGAAACAACCTGAGCCGCGCGGGCGGAAACTGGCTGAAACAACTGGCGCCCCAAAAAGATAGTGATAGTGTTTTTATTATGTTTTTTTCCGCATTGTACCCTCTAGTAAACTAACATAACTATAGAAAATCACCATTTTGAATAGGTAAATCAACTATAATATGTAATGATGGATTTGGAGTTGGTGCCGCTGACCCCAACATCATCGACCGTTGTGCGGTGCAGCTGGCTCATCATGAATGTACAGCCAGCCTCCGGTCGGCCCCGGCGTGATCTTCACAAATTGTTTGGGCTTGAGGCCAAGGGCTTTCTCCTCGGCCCACCCGATCGATCGTTGCGCTTGTTCACAAGAGAGCGCTTCGATGGCGGGCTCGGTGTCTGGAGCGAGGGGCCCGTACACCTTCGGTGTCATGCCCGGAATGGCCGTGTTGCGCCTCGTGCGGCATACACCGATCCACTCCTCAGCAGCCACGTTGAAAGAGTAGCACTTTTTTTTTCAAACTTCTCTGAGCCATCAATAGTTCAAAATAGTTCATATAACTGAAGGATAATGTAATAGTTCTCTATCATAGTTGGCATTTCTATCATAGTTCTAAAGGATATGGTAAATTATCATCCATGATGCTTCATAGTAATTGTCGCAAATTGGGTCAATTTTTTGGATGTAAACCAAGAGAATTGGACAGTATGTCAACCGAACATGCAACGGATCATCTCTGCATATTCTATTTTTACCCTCCGGTAATTTTTCACATGGCAATGGAACATATCCCTATAGATTCTTTTCCCATTGAACCACGATTTTTTTGGGGGATTTCCCAACTTGCCATGGTTGATGACACCGGAGGGATCTGGTTCAAATCAACATCCACTTTTGGCACGGTCACCAGTGAAAAGCCTCAGTATTCCAACAAGAAAGCCCTGCTAATAGAAGCTAGTCTACAACCCTACCTAGTAAGTAGAGCTATCCACTAGAAATCCAACAGTTAGCCTTTTCAAATCACCAACTTAACTGGTAAATCCCATTGAAATAGCAAACTTTTCCCAATGAAATAACCATGTCCCTTCCTATAATTTGTCAAGGGCCATTTCAGGTACCTCAACTGGAGGCACTGTACTATATAAAGACATAGAACTTGGGGGTATATCCCCTTGCACAGCCCTTACGAAGACCTTCTACATCGTAAAGTGCCTTCAAGTTATGTGTGTTGGTTTATACACCCCATGAATACTATAGCGATATCATCCATAAACATCCATAAATTTAAACATAGTTTATGGATCTATTTGGGTAAATTACTATACTTCACTCACCTGAATTGTTGGGTCACCATCATGTGCCTATTATTTGGAGATGATCCAACTATCATTTGGTTTACTCTATCAAGGCTTTTATCTCCAAATCTCTTACCAAATTTATCCAACATGTTTTAAACTTCATGTATAAAATGCTTCATCAGGATCATAATCTCACGGATTATCATTACCCATCGGATCCATGTATGCTATATATATATGGTAACATTTACCATCCATATACCCCAAATGTTAGCATATATACCATACATGGATCCTATGGGTTATACCTTCTCTGGGTAAAAAAAAGGAGATGATCCTCCGTAGAAGAGCCAACTGATTCCAGTCACCAGATCCCAACAGATTACCCTGCGGATTTCCAACCAACTTTCTGGAAAACCAACCTGCAGCGCCTTTTTCGACATCAGTAAACCCATTCGTGTTGCGAAAAAAAAAACATTCGTTAACCGCATTTTGGTGAACGATTTCCTGAATTCCATCATATTTAGTCCATCATAAACTGAATTCCATCATATTTAGTCCATCAGAAACTGAATTCCATGATATTTAGTCCATCATAAACCCATGAGAACCCATGATTTCCTGAAAAAAGTGGTTATTCTTGTCTCATTCCAAAGTCCCGAGGTCTTCTGAGGTCCACACTCAGCGGTGCAACTGTCACATTGGTCAAGTTCTCCTGTCGACTGCGATAGCGAGGTCGTCAGTTTATAACCCCAATTTCACTATGGTTTATAAGTGATAGATCGAACTAGTTAATAAGTTTCTACCCAATTTAAAACCAATAGCTAAGTTGGTGAACATAAAACCCAATAACTAACTATGGTTTATGATACGCAAATAACTCTACCTACTGGTGTTTATAAACCAACGTTCACATCACTGGGGGGCCGCACATAGCAAGAGTTCATGGGAGTTTTAAGCAAGCGAGTCATGGTGAAAAAAACATGGATATTTTTCACCAACAATGGTGACATTTTATGGGATTTAAGCCACCAATAGGATTTAACCTGCAAGAATGGTGATTGTTTATGCATATTTTGCATCTGCGAAGATGGTATATAAATTAATCCATGTCACCAACAAAGTGAGATGGTGTATATTACCAACGCTATAATCTTTGGGCTGGTCTGAAAATGGCCAAACAAAAAAGGGCAATACAGCCCCAAAATGGCAATTGCAAGTTTTGGAACATGATGATCAGCCAGTGGATTTAGTGGGGCCCTGTTTTCAAACAAATCCTGTTATCATTCTGTATCTTTCAGTATCTCCCAACTCGCAGGCGCGAGTTAAAGGGGAGTTCTTTGGTATGCGACTGCCAGGATCAATTTAACCAAATGCTTAACCTTGTGAGTCTGGCTGGGAGCAGTAAGGAGATGGAGGGAAGTGGCTATTTTTAGATGGTTGGTGGTTTTAACCATCTTGAACAATATTAGTCAATGGGAAGGATTATCCCATATATTATGGAAAATAAGAAATGTCCCAAGCCACCAACCAGTTTAGATGGTTGAACAGTTCACAAAAATAGGCTGTGAATCTGAGACCTACTCCATTTGGAGGTGTCCTGATGATGTGGGGTACCCCTTTTTTTCATCCATTTTTAATGGCATGTTCCATTATAAAGCATTCATCTGGGCAAATTATAGTAATTGACAAACCTGAAACAAAGTTATATTGGGAGAATTTCCCTTACTAACCATCATTCCAGGCTTAGGTCGCAATGAGGTCGTCATAATTTGCCATCCATTTGGGGGTACCCCCATTTATGGAAACCCCCGTTTGCCAACTTCACCATATGACATGGCCAACGGGATCATCTTTCAACTTCAGGTCTGCTGGGCTACGAGAAGCACCGAAGGCTAATCGCTATGTTAGTTTACCAGATTGCCAGATTGTAACCCTTTTGCCCTTGTCAATTCCACAAAGAATTGGCTCCGCCAGTACATTCCCTCCGGCCTCGGTGTCGTTGGCCTGGGCATAGGTATATGGTGAATACATGTGAATAATAGGTACCCCAATTATGAAATACATGTGAATAATAGGTACACCAAATATGAACACAAATATGAAAATCATAGGTTTTGAATGGTTTTCACCCATCCCCACATGATGTTAGCAGCTGATATGGGATTATTTTTCATTGGTTCAGTTGGGTCATGATCATGACAAACCAATCACCATAGGCATAAGTGATCTTAAATGTGCATTGATGATCAACCAAGATTCTCGTGGAATTGCTGTATGGATGCCAAACAAATACAATGTTGCCCAAAAGCTGACGTTCGGATGCAATTTCTTGAACTGGGATTCATACATATTTGGCACCAAAAACATGCCCAATCAGTTTCTTGTTGGGTCTGATTGCCGCGTTGCCCTTCGTTGGCTTCGTTGATTTTTTTTTGTGCCCCCAAATTATAATCCTTGATTTGGAGTTTCGCCCCATTTCAAATATCATGGCATATATCTACTTAAAATCAGATCCAAACCATTTAGAAACGCAACACATTTAGACCAACAACAAATGGCAAAACATACCCTCGAGACCCCTCCAGTAATTTAGCATAACAATGTAACATGGCCCATTTATACAGGGGTACCAATCCAGGGAGGGTTCCATCTCAAGATTTTATAGACATAGCGCGGCCTAACATTCCATTTATCATTGATGCATTTGATGTTCCAATTAAAACAGTCTTTTTCTGGTTGGTGGTTTTAACCATCTTGAAAAATATTAGTCAACGGGAAGGATTATCCCATATATTCGAAGGAAGTTTAGAAGTCAAACTTCCGACAATATGGACAGATGAAAAGAAGAGCAGGGCAGAGGCAGAGAGAAGAGAAAGATTAGAAGAGAGAAGAGTAGAAGAGAAAGAGTCAGAAGAAAGAAGATGCAGATGCGCGAAAAGGTTGGAAAGTCGCGAAGCACTGTGTTTTTCCAATGATTTGTGGCTCAGGAGGGTCGAAAAGTAGGCTCGCTAAAGCGGCGGGTGCGGAGCCAGCTCGCCAGATGAGAGATGAAAAGTTGCACGCCGTTGTGGCGCGAAGCACATTTGCAAGTCAAAATGTACAAAACACTAGGGGTTCGGACCACTTTTGGAAGTTGCAATGCCGAAAAAGTGCACGCCGTTGTGGCGCGAAGCACATTTCCAAGTCAAAAGGTGTAAAACACCTCAGCTCCGGACCACTTTTGGAAGTTGAGATGTCGAAAAAGTGCACGCCGTTGTGGCGCGAAGCACATTTCCAAGTCAAAATGTACAAAACACACCATGATCGGACCACTTTTGGAAGTTGCGATGTCGAAAAAGTGCACGCCGTTGTGGCGCGAAGCACATTTTGAAGTCAAAAGTGCTAAAAACTGGCGGTCTCGGACCACTTTTGGAAGTTGAGATGTCAAAAAAGTGCACGCCGTTGTGGCGCGAAGCACATTTCGAAGTCAAAATGTACAAAACACTAGGGTTCGGACCACTTTTGGAAGTCCAGATGTTGAAAAAGTGCACGCCGTTGTGGCGCGAAGCACATTTGAAGTCAAAAGTGCTAAAAACTGGCGGTCTCGGACCACTTTTGGAAGTTGAGATGTCGAAAAAGTGCACGCCGTTGTGGCGGGAAGCACATTTCGAAGTCAAAATGTCCAAAACACTAGGGGTTCGGACCATTTTGGAGGTTCAGATGTTGCAAAAGTGTACGCCGTTGTGGCGCGAAGCACACTTCGAAGTCACACTACACTACAGTACATTACACTCCAGTACACTCCACTACACTAAATTACACTACACCACACTACATTACACTGAATGACACTGCAACACAGATAGACAGGTAGACAGCTAGACAGATAGACAGATGAAAGGGAGAGAGAAACAGACAGGTATGTAGATAGATAGATAGATAAGTAATTAGATGAGAGAGAGAGAGAGGAGCTGGGTAGATGAGATAGATAGATAGATGGCTAGACAGATAGACAGACAGAAAGACAGACAGATCGATAGACAGACAGACAGACAGACAGATAGATAGATAGATAGATAGAGAGATAGATAGAAAGATAGAAGGATAGAAAGGTAGAAAGATAGAAAGATAGAAAGATAGAAAGAAAGAAAGAAAGATAGATAGGGTAATCAGATGAAAGAGAGAGAGGGAGAGATAGATAGCTAGATAGAGAGATAGATAGATACATAGAAAATAGATAGGTAGGTAGGTAGATAGTCAGAGAAAGAGAGAGAAAGAGTGAGAGAGATCAAGCACCTTTCAATCCATCAGTGGCTTCGCTCTGCCATCCCTGATTCACAACAACCAAGCTCTCCTATAGGTTTCCTATTTTTGAAACTTCCGCCACCGCCTTGTGCGGTACTACTGGTATGGAAAATAAACAATGTTTGAAACCACCAACCAGTTTTATAATGAATGCGACTCAATGAAGTGCAACGACGGCATCTGGCCATTACCAGATTCTTTTTCTATGGGTTTTCCCAGGATATGTGCAGCTGGTGGTGGTCCCCCTGCTCCCGGCCCGCCTTCCACCCCCACTCTCACTGCCGCCCCAAGTGGTCTGCCCAGGCAGGAGAGGATGGCCACATTGGCACCTCGCTCCTCGAACTGTGGCACAGCAGAGAGAAAGATGCCAGTATGGATCTCTGACAGCCAACCTCAGCTCTGAGCATGGTTGTTCCACTTGAGCCATGCTGCCTGCCCTGGCCCCGATACCCGCGGGGGAGCGGGCGTGTGCGGCAGCTCTCTTCGTGGCCGCGAGCCGAAGGGCTGTCCCCGTATTCATAGGCGGGGCCTGCGCCATTAAGGGGCCCACCTGTTTGATGGGTTCGGATCCGGTCCAAGTTGATTTTCGGGGCCATCAACAGGTCACCATAGCATCCCATCTGCCACCACTTCCTCCAGCGTTTCTTTTTTCAATAGGGTTTCAATACTTTTCTCCTCTTTTCAATAGAGGTTTCGTGTTGACTGGTTACCTGTTAATGTCCGTCCGAAACATCCTAATTGTTCCAGGTTTACCTAAAAGAGATGATACAGCAAACGATTATAGAAAATGTTTCTCCTTGGGTCCTTGACTCAACCTCATGTTAACCAATGGTTAACTTGTGATTTGGGGTGCCGAGCTTTGGAATCCCATTTTCCTGAATGTTCCATCGAATTTGAACAGTAGAACCCCATTTTTTGTCGACCCCGATTCCCATAATCTGCCCCTACTATGAGGGTTTCTTTTGGGAGTAGTATGGGAGTAGTATAGGAACAGGGGTCCCATCAATTGGGCATCGGGGTCTGTATAGATTCCACTATTTCTTGAATGGGGTTATCACTGTGGAGTATCCCCCTCATACCAAAACCCCAGCCCAAAGCACCAGGGAAGCATCAGTTGCAACATGAGATTCTGTATATCTACCATACATCCTTGCTACTAAGTTCACCTACTTAGGGCTTCATTCCCTTCAGTAGGGATACGTAACCCCAATTGAAAGTGGACCAACCATATTATCCCAAGTATAATCAGAGTTCAAGGCGCGACTTTCCAAGAGGGACGAAGCTCTAAGTGCATTCAACATAGTCTTGGCTAACAATCTGGGGCATCACATATATTCCCCAGTATATCCCCATTACTGGTTGGTTAAATCTCCATGTTTAGTGGTGAAATCTCATCCAAACGATCAGTTTGAATGGCTACACCAAGGTGAGGCCCCCCCAGTTATAAGTTACAAACCCATGAATACTGTAGTTACATCCCCCTAATCAACCCACTTTTTTTAACCAATTTGTGTCAGCTTAGCTTTTTTGGGGCCTCACATTGTACTAACCAGTATATCATTTATGGTTGGTTGAAGCTCCATGTTTCATGAAGTTTCATGGTGTCATCCAAACGTTGGGGAGCTGCCAAAGCCTCGTCGACCGTCGTCTCCAGCACCAGCTGCACTGTCTTGCCCGTCACCGACACCTTGGAAGTCCAGCCGAAACAAAAATCAACGTGGGTAACAACATACATAATATAATATGTATATATAATATGTATATAACAATATGTATATATATATATACATACATGATAATCATCTAATAATAATAATATCTAAAAATATAGTAACCTATTACAATCTCTAATAATCATCCAAGTCCAGATTGATGGACTATCCCCCCTCACTGATTGCTATAAGTTGAATCTGACTGAAAATACATGGATTTGCTTAAGGGACCACCGAAAAAAAAAACTATAGATTCCCCAAGTAGTGGATTTCCCATGAAGAAAATAAAAAATCATCTTCAGCAAATCCAAGAATAAGGTCATGACCTCGAAAATCGGTGGTTAACCATGATGTTCTAGACTAAACTTGCGAGTTGGAGGGATGCCCCCATGAAATCACCACATCTTTGTCGTTTCAACCCCTATATCTACCCAAATAAACACAAGTTTTACAGCCTTGCTCAATCAACTGAAATCAACTTAGTTCAATCAACTGAAATCAACTTAGATATCAAATTAAATCCCTTTATCATCCAACCATCTTCCATCATCCTATATCTGCAGCCATGATGGTCAGCCTTTTCAAACGACCTTTTTCAATCAATCCCTGCGTCCCTGCGTCCTGAGCTGCCCAGCGGTGATCCCTGAAATGCTGGAAATCTTCTGCACCTCTTCCTGCAGGATGCTGCTCACCTGAAAGATGCCGCGGGCGAAAACCAGCCGTTGTGGCGGCCAGTGGCCATTGGGGATCTGGGAAAATGGGGGGTGGAGCCAACTAAATATAAAATTATAACCAAGATGGCATACATAGAATACAGAATCGATAATTTCGGCCTCCAAAAGCATCTTCCGGAATCGGTAAAAAAACCTATACATAGAATAAAAGCATCTTCCGGAATCGAAAAAAAACACCTATACATAGAATATTTCCGGCTATCCATTTTGATCCGGGAAAATATTTTTTCTCAGGTTTTGCTGGATTTCTGCAGCCGCCCGTGATTCAAGCCCGTCCCGCAAAGGGACCAATCGTTTTCAACATGGAGGGTGTGTTGCACCGCGTTTTGCTGGGGCAATCGCGGGGTGACCACTACTCTGTGTTGGGGGTAACACCAGCCATTGGTGGGGAGGAGATTCGACCTGAGGAGCGAATGAAAACCAATGGAATTGGGTGGTGTTCCTCAAACAATTGATGAATATTTTCACTTGGGACCTGTATTCTATGTATGTAGTTCTGCAAGGAATTGGGTCTCTTTCATGTATAAAGGCATTATAAGGGTATACATTATATACGTAATTCCCTTTGGGGAGTAGCAACCCTGGATGTCTGAAGTTCCTCAACTAGAACATGTCAACAAAAAAAACGGGCACCCCGAAATGATCATTTTTTTTAAATATTGTATTTAAAAAAGGAACTTTTCAGGCTCACCGAAGGGTACCCCCACGACTGGTGTCATAGAACTATGAAAAAAACTATTTTGCAATGAAAACCAATGGAATTCGGTGGTGATCCTCAAAAAGATGATGAATATGTTCACTGGGGACCTATATTCTATATATGTAGTTCTGCAAGGAATTGGGTCTCTTCCATGTATAAAGGTATATATCATATATGTAATTCCCTTTGGAGAGTAGCAACCCTGGATTTCTGAAGTTCCTAAACTAGAACATTTCAACAAAAAAACAGGTCACCCGAAATGACAAATTTCTTTTTATATTGTATTAAAAAAAATGAGTTTTTCAGGCTCACCGAAGGGTACCCCCCACGACTGGTGTCATAGAACTTTAAAAAAAAACTATTTTGCAATGAAAACCAATGGAATTGGGTGGTGTTCCTCAAACAATTGATGAATATTTTCACTTGGGACCTATATTCTATGTATGTAGTTCTGCAAGGAATTGGGTCTCTTTCATGTAAAAGAGTGTATATCATTTATGTAATTCCCTTTGGGGAGTAGCAACCCTGGATGTCTGAAGTTCCTCAACTAGAACATTTCAACAAAAAAAACAGGTCACCCGAAATGACCAATTTCTTTTTATATTGTATTAAAAACATGAGTTTTCCAGGCTCACCGAAGGGTACCCCCCACGACTGGTGTCGTAAAACTTTTAAAAAAAACTATTTTGCAATGAAAACCAATGGAATTGGGTGGTGATCCTCAAAAAATTGATGAAGATGTTCACTGGGGACCTATATTCTATGTATGTAGTTCTGCAAGGAATTGGGTCTCTTTCATGTATAAGGGTATATATCATATCCGTTATTCCCTTTGGCAAGTAGCAACCCTGGATGTCTGAAGTTCCTAAACTACAACGTTTCAACAAAAAAACAGGTCCCCCGAAATGACGAGTTTTTTATATTGTATAAAAAGAATGAGTTTTGCAAGCTCACCGAAGGGTACCCCCCACGACTGGTGTCGTAGAACTATGAAAAAAAATACCTAGAACCCAAAAAATGTTCAATCTGCTGGGTTTCACACATGTTTTCGATATGGGAATATCGTTATTCCTATGGTATTTGCTTTGGCACTGTTTATGCACTCCAAAATTCTACCCCAAATATTTCTACCCCAAATATTCTAAGTTTTTTTTTCCGTCCACACCCGTAGGGTTGAAATCGGGCATATTCTAAGTAGGCGATCAGGATTATACATATATATATATATACATATGGGATATGAAGACATGGGTTATAGAGACAATGGGTTATAAAACACAAATTGAAAATCATGGGTTCCAAAGACAATGGCTTTCAATAGATGATTTGTTGGAACATATATTGAAAGAGGTGGGCTATTGTGGTGAAGGCACCTAAACCGCACTAAACATAACTGGTTGGTGGTTTCAACCCCTCTGAAAATATGAAAGTCAGTTGGGTTTACTATTCCCAATATATGGAAAATAATCCAAATGTTCCAAACCACCAAGCAGAAATTGTATTGGCTAAATCTTTTCCATCCAGTCCTGATAAATTTTCCTCTGCCCACCATCGATCCATCAAAAAACGGACCTAAATGGTAGTTTTCCAATCCTTGTTTTGATGGTTGCCATCTGGCATATGTACCCTGTAGTAAACTGACATAGCTATTGAAAATGGCCCATCGAAATAGTTGATTTACCGAACTTAAAAACGGAGATGTTCCATAGTTTTCTGTAAACGTTTACCAGAAGGTAGATGATATTCCAATTGAAAAATCTTAGTCAGTTGGGATGATTATTCCCATATATTATGGAAAATAAAAAACAAGTTTGAAACCACCAACCAGTTAGATGATATTCCCATTTTTCAATGCCCATTCACCATGGGATTTCCCATTGCCATGTTCGATTACAGCACCGCAGGCTACATCATCTGGAAAACCATGAAATCGCGGAGAGAATCACCATACAATCAACCAAAAAAAACACCATAGAATCACTTACACACTCATTGCCACCACTGAATCACCACTGAATCACCACTGAATCTCATGAAATCCCAAAAAAAACCCAATAAACAAATACAAGTCAATCCCATAAAATCACCGTATTCCATCCATCGAATTCACCAAATAAATCACCATGATCAGGAATATGGAGTAAATAACCCAATAAGTCACATCAAATCACATCAAACCACCATTAAATCACCAATAAATCACCGTTGAATCACCATCAAATCACCATCAAATCACCAATAAACCACCATTGAATCACCACTAAATCACCCATAAGTCACCATTGAATCCCATTGAATCACCGTCAAACCACCTTCAAATCACCATTGAATCACCATCAAATCACCATTGAATCACCATGAAATCACCATCAAACCACCAATAAACCCCCATTGAATCACCACTAAATCACCAATAAGTCATCATTGAATCCCATTGAATCACCGTCAAATCACCTTCAAATGACCATTGAATCACCATCAAATCACCATTGAATCACCATGAAATCACCATCAAATCACCATTACATCACCATTAAATCCCATTGAATCACCATCAAATCATCATTCAATCACCACTAAATCACCATTAAATCACGATTAAATCATTATTGAATCCCATTGAATCACCATAAAATCACCACTAAAACACAATTAAATCACCATTCAACCTTCCTTTTTTTATCATCCCGTTGAAACACATGGCTCCCCTGTGGCGCCTGCACCAGCGAGATGGCTTCGAGCGCCGCTCGACTGGCGGTCGCAGCCTGCGTCATCGAAAAAACATCGTCATGTCTGCGATAGATACCTAGTTATATTTACCATAAACATAACATGAGGTATAAGTAACATGGTTATTGAGGTATAAGTATAGTTCTATCTACCATAAACAGTTTATACCTCCAATAACTATGGTTTATGGTAGATATAACTATACTTACTGGTGCTTATTACCTATAGATAATGATGATGCCATATCACTTGAATGATGACACATAGTTAATGAATAGCAGATGATCACCTGATCATAAAAAATGGCCCCCCCGTTTACGAAGAGCGTTCAGTTGGGGGCCACGTTTAACACTCCAAGAACTCACAATGGTTTATGATACGCAAATTACCAAAAAACTAATAGGGTCTATAAGCCAACTTACAACTGGGGAGCCACACATTGACCATTAGTGCTCCTCCTCCTTCTCCTTCTCTACCTGTTGTAAAAGTGCAAGTCTGTTTTTTTCGATCTGACGAGCCATCCTCTCTTGGTCCGAGTACTTGCTCAGCAACTCGCTGTAGTTGGAAGCAGAATCCACCGGCGCTTTGAAGATGTTTGAATATTTATCTGAAATGTTGTGTTGTGTTTCCACTATGTGGTTTTTAGAACATGGTGAATGGTATATAGAAAATGGTGGAATGACCATAGACACCATGCTAATATACATATATATATATAAATGATAGACAATGGTGAAAGATAATGACATATAGGTAATGGATAGCAAATGACAGTTGATGGTTTTCAATCATGTCTGCGATAAAAAATATATAAATGATAGAAAATGGTGAATGATAATAACATATAGATAATAGAACGCATGTTAAATCACTTGAATGATTACGTATAGATAATGGATAGCAAATGAAAACTGACACTTATCAATAATGAAAAGCATGATGAATGATAGACCATGTATCATAAACGGTATCATAATGAAGAAAGACAAAACAGACGATAATTAATGATAAACTATAATCGATGTACATATCATGCTAAGAACATACTAAAGATGTATCCAACAACATATTTTAGATAATGCTATTCTATGAACATGCATTTCTGTGTTTTTTTGGTTTAAATCTGGTTGATTAGATAATGAATAGCATAAGCAAAATAACCAATGTATGTGTATCATCTCAATCCTGATATAGATGATGATTCTCTCATCATTCCCTTGATCAACCAAATAATACAAACCCAAGTATCCTGTTTAACCGGCTAGGGGATCAGTTCCAGTCTGGTAAAGATAGATAGATAGATAGACAGATAGATAGATAGTTTGTTTGTTAGTTAGATAGATAGGTAGATAGATGGATACATAGATAGTTAGATAGATAAATAGGTAGGTAGGTAGATAGATAGATTAGTTAGTTAGTTAGTTCGTTAGTTAGTTAGTTAGTTTGTTTGTTTGTTTGTTAGTTCATTAGTTAGATAGATAGATAGGTAGGTAGATAGATGGATACATAGGTAGATAGATAGATAGATAGGTAGGTAGATAGATAGATAGTTAGTTTGTTAGTTAGATAGGTAGAAAGATAGATAGGTAGGTAGGTAAAAAGATAGATTAGTTAGTTAGTTAGTTAGTTAGTTTGTTTGTTTGTTAGTTAGTGAGTGAGTCAGTCAGTTAGTTAGTTAGTGAGTGAGTTAGTTAGTTTGTTAGTTTGTTAGTCTGTTAGTAAGATAGATAGATAGATAGTTAGATAACCGTCGCTGTAGGAGCCCCATTCTGAAAAGCCGCAAAAAAAAGTCCAACGGCATCCCCATGGAATCCTGTCTCGAAGCAGTGCCAATCTGCCAGATACCCTGCAAAAAATGGACCAAATTCTTAGCTGGTGAACGGCTCGATAATCCCAGCCAGATACCAAAAGACTACAGTGACTAAAGGATTAGTTTCTACCCATCAAAGATTGACCTAGATATAGGGGATTTCCACATTTCCTATGGGTTTTCCCATGGTTTTGCCATGTCCATCATACTCCAATGATCTTCCCATGTTTGTTGCTTAACTGCTCCATATGGCTGTAGAATCCTGTCTATCCAGATGGCTTGGGACACCAGTCTCCAACCTGCAGCACGCCAGCGCTGCCCAAGGACTCTGGGAATTGGATCACCTCGGATGGGAATATCAGGGGATTCACCATCTATGATTGGGATATAACGCGGATATGGACAGGTGTATGACTATATATATATTTATTTATTTATTTCTTTATCCAAACATATAATTATTTATATATAAATAAATTTATCTATCTATCTATATGTCTCTATATACAGACATGATTAGACATGTATATATATATATTATAGACATTAATTCATACAAAACCACCAGTCATTACAACAAGAATGATGTTTGGATATGCTTTAAAATAATATCGGGATATAACTGCACCTAAATGGATCCTATATCGGGAGTTGACGGTATAGTTAATGGAATCTCTTGAAGGTTGGGATGCTGTCTTCATCAATGATATAGATGTTGAAGATTAATGCTGGTTGGTGGTTTCAATCCCTCTGAAAAATATGAGTTCGTCAGATGGGATGATGACATTCCCAATATATGGAAAAATAATCTAAATTTTCCAAACCACCAACCAGCAATTGGAAATAAACCCTTTTTGGAGAGGATTCTCCCTTAATTCCCTTCATTTTTTGGGCGAGGTTGTCTTGAGGTCGCTTTGTTGTTTACCCAAACAATGGGGATGCACTAGGCTGTATATTGTGAGGAAAGGCTTAGGAGTTGAATGTTATAGTTAGATTGTTCTCAAAGTGAGACATAATGATCAACCATGAAAGTTTTTGGGACACCTCATTTTAACTGGTTGGTGGTTTCAACCCCTTCTGAAAAATATGAGTTCGTCAGTTGGGATCATTCTTCCCAATATATGGATAAATAATCCAAATGTTCCAAAGCACCAACCAGTTTCGAGTGCTTAGCAGGGAATGAGGGAATGATCCACAATAACTATCAAGAATCATCCCATTCCCCCATTCCCATCCATTCCGTGCTAAGCACCAGTAAATCAGTTGGGATGATGCAATTTCCAATATGTTCCAAACCACCAAGCAGTTAAGGGTGATTGACCGATTACTTACAGTTGGAACCAGCACAACATCCACTGGTTCATCCCACAAGTGGAGTCGTGGCCTTTCCGTTCACCCGAAATCACAAGTGCATGAAACCTACGTTCGGTGGTGCCCCCCAAATTATGTTTGTTGGTTTATAAACCCCATTATAACTAGTTCGATATATCTACCATAAGTCCAAACGTGAAATTAGAGTTATGTTCACCAACTTAGCTATCTTGGAGGCACCACCTTGTACTTATCCCACTAACGAAACCAGGGGTATAACCTACTTGGGAGTGGCACTTCACCATCAAGTAGCTAGCCTACTGATAAACTGTATTCACCAATACTTGCCCAATGATCTTTTTGGCTAGCCTGCACTCTCATTCCTTTTTTTCGAGATGCCAGGATCCCCTTTACTTTACTAACTCACGTATTTTACCGTGTTGTCCCAATCACAACGATTACTACTCTCTGGAAATCTGACATAGCCACGGAAAATGGCCATGGAAAAAAAGATAAGACATTTATTTTCATGGGTAGTTTTGCATGGCATTCCACCAAAGTTTACGAGGTGGTGCCCCCCAGTTATAAATTACTTTAAAAAACCCATTAACTCTAGATATATCACCTATAAACCATAGTTATTCATAGTTATTGAAGTTATAAACCAACTTTGCTATCTTGGGGGCACCACCTTGTAGTCACTAAGGTGAAGGATTAACCGCACAAACAGGTTGCAAGTCGATTTTGAAAGACTGATAGGTATCCACATCTACCCCGAAAATGTCTCAGTTTTGTAGGTAAATATAGCAGCACCATGGAGCGTATGGGATTGTATTGAAACAACTTATGATCACTCTTGTTGCTTCATGTAGTAGATTCCTCTTCAGGCGCAACCATTGATCCCAGTGGCGTAAAAAAACCCTTCTTTTTGTTGGCAAAGTCCTGTGTCCCAACATTTTCTGGTTGGTGGTATACCTACCCCTCTGAAAAATATGAGTCAGTTGGGATGATGACATTCCAGTATGATGGGAAAAACAGAACATGTTCCAAACCCCCCACCAGAGAAGGTTCTATAGTTCACCTACTTGCAGGTTTCTCAGTCCATTGGTGGTTACATTGTTCTGTTGTATTATTCTGTTTTATTGCCCAATATTCACTACTGATATTCCCGTTTTTCTCTTCAATTCCCATTGGTATTCACAAGCATAGTTACCACCCGAATTCACAAAGTGTTGACCCACGGGGCAGCTTTCATCCACGCAAATTACAAGAAATTCCAAATCAAACATGCTGGCCCACTTTGGAGCTCCCCTGCACCTTATTGTCCATAACATTGCCAATCTTAGATACACTATATGTTCCTTTAGCTGCTTAGTACAAATCCCGATTTGTGGCACAAAACATAAAATGTCTTAACTGCCATTCCAAGGTTGACCAACACATTTTCCCAGTTGCTTAACCCCTACTTTGGCCTATATAATGCTGAACACATATATTTTGGTACTGAATTTAAACAATATATTTCTGGTAGTTACACTATGTCTTCACTATTTTGCTCAAAAAATAGATTTATATCGAAGTCGACAAAAAATTAGTCGAACAAATATCTTTTAATAAAAAATGGTAATTTTTACCAACCACAATATTTTTTACCAACCAATCCAACCACAAAAAAAGGGAAATGTTCCCAATCACTCAATTATGGTCGTAGCAGATTCCCCGTTTTTTCATGGTGAAATCCCGAGAGCAAAGAGGCGGTGCCGAGAGCGTCGTGTTTTTGATGTTGGTTAGTTTAGAACACCATCCATTAACTTTAGAAACATAAAACATCATAAAACTAAAGAAAATAAATGGTTTATTGTTAGCTTATTATGTTTATAGTTAAATATTATTACTATTAGAGATGGTTATTAGATGATTCTTATATATATATATATAGTAGAGCCCCCTAGATACCTAAGTTGGTTCATGATACTTATTACTGTAATTAATAGGGGTTATAATACAACTTATAATTAGGTGGCCGCACAATGTCAAACATCATAAACCAAGTGTTTGTTTAGCTGTGTTTCTTTGTTTGTTGGTTTACCCAGTGAAATGTTTCTTGGTAAATTGTAAACAAACAAAACCCATGAATACTATAGGTATATCCCCCATAAACATTCATAAACCACAGTGACTATAGTCATTCTAGATCTATCTGGGTAAATATTCATATTTCACTAACTTGAAAATGTTGGGTTAATCTGGAGATGATCCTCTGCACAAAAAAATATAGTCGCAAAAAAAAAAAGAAATATGCACCATAAACCCAACAGTTTACGTGTTCATTCCAACCAACTTAGATATATAGCTTTGATCAACTATAAATCTATAAATATATATATATATAAACCTATATATATATATATATATATATATATTAACTATAGTTTTGATTAATTAACTATATATAGCTTTGTTTCTTGCAACCAACTCAACTATAAATATCCACTGTCTTGATTTCGGAGCTGGGGCACCTTTGCAGCAGCTTTCATGATATACGAAATCAGGTCCATTCGTGTTGCGGAAAAATCCCAAGATCCAACAATTTCAATCCCGTTCAGTCACCGTTGAAGTTCCATAAAACAAAGAAACATCAGTTCTTGATTTTCTTCTTGTTGGTTGAATTCCAGCAAAAGGTCCGGGGGTACCACCTCGCCACATGGCCAAATACAGTATTCCATAAACTATGTCCATTATTACCCCCACCAAAGTCCCATAAAATCCATGTAAAATTGGGAAACAATGGGAAATCCCTATGAGGGCCCCCCCAATTATACACTGATTTATAAACCCACTAACTAAACTTACATCCCAGAAATCCAACAGTTCATCAAATCATGTGTGTCAACTTAGTTATTTAACCTTGTAGGCCATCATCCCCAATATTGCCATAAATGGAAGGTATCAGCCATAAAAATATCAGTGGTTTATCATTGTTTTTCAATTTTTTGCTGGCATTAATGGTCAGTCACAAAAAATCCCTATAAAATTCGAATCAACTTCCCATAAAACCCATATAACATTGATAACTAGTGGAAAATCCCACTTGAAATCCCGTTCAATCTGCTAGCATTTGCTACCTATTATATGCAACTTTGCCAAGGAAGTCGTTGGAACCTGCAGTTTTTTTTTTCGATCCCAGAGGCATAGTCCACCTTCACCGCCTGCTGCAAGGCTCGTCCGGCTAAGCGTCGGCTGCTACAGGTGGCACCCGCCACGATGGAGGCCTCTCCGCGGTTTGCGTTTCGCGATGAACATGGGGAGCAAAACAACAGAAACCTTAGATTCAGATTTGTTGGGGAAACAATAAAAACATGTTTCAACATCTAGTAAATTCATGTGAATGCTACAAATGGTGCTTAACCAATGGAAAATGACCCAAAATAGATCAAATGCTCTAAAAAGGATAAAGAGGAAAATACATCCGTTGACCGTCAATTGATCCATGAAAATTGCTGAAAATAGTGTAATATCGAAGCAAATGCAATGTAAAAACGTGGTTTGATAGGCAGCTTTCAGGTATTCCAAAAAAAACGAAATGAGGTGTTTACTGGCAAGGAGACGGATTTCAGCAGCTAATGCCCGGTTTTTAGAAAAGGTAACAGGTAACAAAACTTGGAGCGAACCAGGGAATTCTAACTTTCACTAGCTTGATTGACAAGAATATTCAAAAAAAACATTGCAGCCACCAATGCCGGCGTTCCTGCAAACTTTTCGTGTAAGCATTTCTCCGACGAAAAGATGACAAGGGCATCGGGATCAACATGTAGTGTGTAAGTCGGATGGAAGTACCATTCCCGAGATAACCAGGAAACAGGAAATAGGAACCCAGGATGTTGGGTGCTTTCTAGTCGGTGCTACAAGCTGGAAACGCACAGCGTATTGAAGGCAATCAGCTGCCAGAGCTTCTACCCTGAGGTGCCCATCTCCTCACAAATTGCCACGCATTGGGGATGAACTTGCGAGCCATCCAGCCACTTATCGTCTACTGTAGTTGGGTGTGTTGCGTATGCTTAAGGAGAACAGAACATTATGTACACTGTTGCAGTTTCTCTAAATGGGCACGCCCACATGCATCTTAACCAGCTACTGGCAGCCATTTGGGAATTGCCTCTACCACAAAACCGTTGCAACTGTTTCTGGGGCCATACCCCCGTCATGGCGCATCATAGGTCACAAGACGGGCCACCGCGTTGTTATGCTCGTCAAGTGTTACTAGGTCTTATTTGCGGATTGGATTGTACGGTATTCGTCTAGCACGACAGCTGACCCCATCAGAAGTCCGCAAACTTGGTAAACTGATGGGTTGATTGGGGGGATATAATATAACTACAATGTGGGGCCCGAGGGGCGGTAGCTAAGTTCATTCATGTCTCCAAAAACTATGGTATATGATACTTATAACTATATTTAATGGGGTCTACGAACCAACTTATAACCGGGGGATCCCCACATTGTATAGTCAATGGGTTAATAAGGCAACAAAGATCACTGGGGAGCCTCGCCGAAAATAGCAGGAGACCCCCGCAATGAATACCATTGTCATGAACTCACCTGGGTGGGGTCCATTGATTTTAGGTGCAACCATCCATACTAGTGTATGTGGTTACTTCCAGTCCATCTCATATTGCTGGATATACATATATATATATATATGTTTCTTGGTAGATCATAATATTTCACTAACCTGAATCAAGGCCATTCGGGGATGATTTCCCTTATTAACCATGATTCCAGGCTTCGGTCGCAGTGAGGTCACTATATTTTACCCAGATAAATGGATATTTATGGATATAAACTATAGATATATCAACGCCTAGAAACCATAGTTATTGGAGTTATGTTCACCGCCTTAGCTATCGACCTTGGGCACCACCTTGTATATATAGATATATTATATATTATATATATATATTAAATAATATTATATATATATATATAAATATTGAATTATATATATAAATACACATACATATATATATATATGGATACATCAGGGTCAGGGTGCCCTCCAGTGGCTTCAAGGTAGGCCTCTCCGCTGCCTACATGTATACATTCGGATACCTTCATATCCCACTAGATCTCAGGATTAAAAAGTTCCAACCCTGGTATAGTTCCAACCTTACAGTGTCCCACCATTTTATCCACAAAAATGGTGCGTGTGTTTCTTTGATTTCATTGGAATGATATTCAAAGGCCTATGGATATACTTTGGTCATGTTTGGGTCACCATTTACCATCTAGTTATGACTAACATAGCCATGGAAAATCACCATTTTTAAAAGGTAAACCATCTATTTCTATGGGCCATTTCCATGGCTAAGTTAAATAACCAGAGGGTATCATATTTATCTAATTGGCATGCGCCGTACTATGTTTTAGTTTTGGGTCGGCCTCTTGAATTGTGAGGATAAACATATGCCTTGGGATTTAAAAATAATCTTGGGGCTCTCTAGAAAATATGTACTGAATCTGTTGTATGCTGTATATTGTAGGTGATTTTCTATGTTATATTATATTAATTATATTATATTACATAATATATTATAAATTATATATATTATATATTATATAGTTTATATTAAATATTATATATTATATATATTAAATATTTAATATTATATATTATATAAAATATATATTATATTGTATATGTTTTTTTATATTATATTATATTACATTAAATATTAAATATTATATATTATATGATATTATATTATATTATTATATAAATATAATATTTTAAAATATTATATAATGTATGTATTAAACTATATCATATATCAAATCAAATATTATCAACTTTTATAAAATGAAATCGAATTTAATCAAATTATATCAAATTAATTCATATCATATCATATCATTTTTCATCATAAATTACTATAATATATTAAACGATATAAATTCATATAATATCAACAAATATTACTGGTCTATTATATTGAACAAATCATGTGCACATTTATTACATTATATATATTAAATTAGATATACCATGTTATACTTGTTATATTATATTTTGTTATGTTAGATTAACTTAAAATTATATATAGTATGATTTAAATCCAACAAATACATGAACAACAAAAACACATTGTATTTGCTTAACACCAAAAAACATTGTTTATAAACGGCTGGAAAATCGTTTCCAAGCCGTTTCTACCAGCATCAATTCTAGCTGTTTTAGACATAGTTCCAACGGTTCGGAGCGGGTTCAAACTATACATATATCATATGTATGTATATAATATATATATATATGTATGTATAGATGTATATGTTTAAGGTGCTAATATGTAAACAGCGCAGAACGGTTCGGAGCGGTTCAGAGCTACTTATACTGTCAAGACTGTTCAAGACTATTTGGGATTATTTAAGACTCATTAGGGTCCTGGTGGTGTAAATAAATAGTTGCTGGCGGGTCCACAGGTCGCCTGGCCTTTTTCTTTGTTTTGGGGGGGGTTGGGGGGGTGGGTGGGGGGTTGGGGGGGTGGGTGGGGGGGGCGTAATAACGTTCTTTGTTCTGCGTTCGCTTGGACCTTTTTTTTCTTACCTATTTTTATGTTACGCTTGCAGGCTGCCGCATCATCTGGCACGCAAGACGTCATGCTACGCTTGCACGCTGCTGCATCATTTTGCACGCAACACGTCATGCTACGCTTGCACGCTGCCGCATCATCTGGCACGCAAGACGTCATGCTACGCTTGCACGCTGCTGCATCATTTTGCACGCAACACGTCATGCTACGCTTGCACGCTGCCGCATCATCTGGCACGCAAGACGTCATGCTACGCTTGCACGCTGCTGCATCATTTTGCACGCAACACGTCATGCTACGCTTGCACGCTGCCGCATCATCTGGCACGCAAGACGTCATGCTACACTTGCACGCTGCTGCATCATCTTGCACGCAACACGTCATGCTACGCTTGCACGCTGCTGCATCATCTTTACGCAACACGTTTTTTTCTCCATCATTGTTGTTTTCGCGTTCTTGTGTTTTGTGGTCCCGCCAGCACAATAGTGACTATGTTTGTTTGGGGGCAATGGTGACATCAATATTTCTGGTATCATATAACTTTACATGACCACGGCTGGTTGGCTGGTGTTGGAAGCTACTTTTTTTGGGCAACCATGATTGGTGCTGCACTGCAGGTGTGGTCCTCAGCTGGGATGGCTGCGACAACGCTCGGTTGCAATAGTGGATTGGGAGAGTATTGCTGGCAGCATGGAAAGATAGATAGATAGATAGACAGATAGATAGATAGATACAGATATATGTATACATGCGTATATGGATACATGTCTGTATATATATATATATATACATATATATATATGTATACATGTTTGGTATTTACATTGAGATTTATATATAGAGACATATATATATACATTTATATACAGACGCGCACAGTGTTGGCATTTCGAAGTGCGATCAGTGGTGTTTTGGGATGTTTGAAAACAAACGCTTCGTGTGAAGAGCTGGCACTGGTTGTTGTCTGCAAGACACAGCATTTCAGTGACTGTTGGCCTTGGTTTAGTGGCCCAAGAACAATTCGCTCCCACGCATATGTCGTTCCATGTTACTCTTTGATCATCTCTTTGAATGTTGCGTTTTGCTGGTCGGTTTGCGCCTCTCTGGTGATGTCGCTTGGGACCACTCTTTGCAATCATTGCCGTGGCTGAGAACAATCACGCCATGGATTTGTATGTCCTTGGAGGAGCTTCACGAGTATGCTCTCATGATGTGCAGTCGCTTCAGTGATGATGTGGAGCGTCAGATTACGATTAACATGGAATTCTGCAACATCACCAGAAGACCGCCTTGGTCTGCCTTCACGGCTGATGTTTTGGCCTGTCTACGAAAAGTTTGGAATGGTGTCTGGGTAGCATATGTTTTTTTTGGCTGTTAATGTTGCCAGGGTTTCGATTGGTTGCAGTTTCTTCAAACCTTGAGGTTTAGTGACATCTCGCTTGCTTGGACATGGATGTCCCTTTTCGGATACGGAGCTGTCTTGGGAACTGCCAGATCGAGACACTGTTTGTCACATGGCTGTTTCGGGAAGACGCGTAGTGTTTCAGCCTTGGTTTGCCGACAAGAAGTATCACTTGGATGGTGCTTTGAACTATGCTTCTTTCATGTCCTCGCAGAGATTGGCACCTCATGAGCCACCCAGCTTCGCGTCTGTGCAGTTGCCGCAAATCATGGAATCTTTGGGTTTGGTACCGGTCGAGACTTCCCGGACCGAATTTGCGCTCTCCTTTTATGGCGCTGATCCCATTCTACTGGACTCATCCGGGGATGAGATGTGTGTTGCAGACACAGTGCATCCGGAGACTCCTCGTCCTGCAGATGATGTGCTGCGAAGTTGGCGCTATGTCTATGGCTGTGATGCTTGGTTTTTTTTCTTAGGACACTTTTTGTTTGGTCGGGGGGAACTGTTCCTGCTTCCCTTTTTCTTTATGTCTTTTTTCTATGGCCTTGCTCAGGAGACTTCACTGTCTCCGAGTCGTCCTGATGACAGTCCATACACAAGACGTTTGAAGCGTTGGAAGTCAGTTTGGCAAGGCGCTGAATTCAGCGATTCATTAGCCAGTCGCACCGCTTCTTCTTCTTCAAACCAGATTCCGGGCCATGTGCGTGAAACTCGCGCGATGTCTCTGTTGGAGAGAGCAAGTCTCTTTGAGAATCGTGAGTCTGATCGTTCTCAGCACCGTTCACAGCAAGCTGCTTCACATGAAGCGCCACCAAAATTCAAATGGGGTGAGTGTACCTGTGGCTACTCAGTGTGCCCATGGGTGTTCAAAACTGGCAAGATGAGGGGTGAATTGCGGCTGGTTTGCCGAGGCTTTCTCAAGAGATGGACAGCAGATGGCAAACCGTTGTGCTGGAACCATTACGAGTTCCCTATGGAGCGCTACCATGAAATTTCCAAGTCTTTGAAGATGCTCTACCAAGATTTGCAAAATGTCATGCATAGAAATTCTCGGCGTGGCAACTCCACGTGAAGCTGTCTCGATGTCGGAAAAAGAGAAGGCGTCTTCCATTGTGATTGCCAAAGTTCGTTTTGTTCAACTTTATGGCAGAATGATGTTATCATCTCTATTGATGCTCATGATGGTAGACAATTATGTTACTCTTTGAACTTATTATCAGTCTCATGTAACATATGCGCGGCCATGGTTTGTGACGAATATTGGGTTGACTCCGTTCCACCAAGATTCGGGGCAGGGTTTACGGCAGAGTCATGCAAATGCCGCGCGCACTCACAAAGATGTAACCGATTGTTGACGATGTGGTTCAAAGCATAGAAAGCCGCTGCGCTGCAAGTAGCCATGTGTGCTGTGCTGGACTTATGGGGAAGTCTGGCTCAAGCAGTGCTGTTGCTTCTACACGGTCACGCCGTGGAGTGATCAAGAGATGTGGGATTTGTGGCAAGTCTGGCCACAGACAAGAAACTTGTCCCCTTCCTGGTGCAAGTCTCGTGGCTAAACTTCGACGGCAGTTGAAACAAAGTTCAAACAAGGCTGGGAGCCACTATGAAGATGATCGTTCCCATGCCCAGAAATCTGGTCCTTGGAAGAAGAAAGCCATGAAAGCTTACCAAGGAACGACTACCAGAGTCGATCAGCGTCATAGGCGGAATCTTTGTGAGATTCTCGATAAAGCTCCTGCTCAAGATGATGAGTCTGCCGTGAAATGGTTGCTGTCAATGGGCTTTGTGCATAAGCCAAACCTTTGTCCCACTTGTGAATGCAAAAAAATCCAAGGTCCTTGCCAACAGACTAGGCAGAATCGCTCTCCCTGGTGGTTCTGGCGCTGTTCGTTCTGGAGTTGTCAGACGCGGCTGCCGTTTCTGAATAATAGTGCCTTCGTTGGTCTTCGACTCCAACCAAAGACACTGGTTCAGCTGATTCTTCACTATGCCTCGTCGAGCTTGACCAAGGTTGTGACCCGAGATGATCTAGTTCAAGCAGTCAATGTTGGATGGCAGCAAGGGCAACATTTCCTAGATGTGTTGACAACGCAAGAAGCTGAAGCAGGGGAACTGTTCTGCAAAACGGCTGTGTTGAGCCGAAGCATCGAATGCGATGCTACGGGTCTGGGTCGTTATTATGTCAAGAGAACCAACCTCTTGATGGCGGACCAGATTCAACAGCTGGAAGACAAAAAAAAGTCGCAATGCAAAGCTTATCCGTGTCACATCCGCTTGCTGGGCCTGCACGAACGTGGAGGTGCTTTTGTCGCAGCTTTTCTGCGACCACGAGCTCCTCGTTTATGATCTTGCCAGGTTCAGATTTGTTTTCACTTGTTAATAATGCATCTTGGCTTTAGAAACGCAAGATACTGTGATTCCATACAGAGCAAGTTAGCAGATTGCTTTAAATATTCAACAGTGATTTCGACGCTAGTTTCTATTCGACGTTTCTTTTCCTGTTTCTGCATGCCGGTCGAACTTGATTGATTTTTGCATGACCGATAATGATCCCGATGCTTGCCAATCAAAGAAATCACTCACTCTGCAATCTGTCTGCAATCTGAGGTTGCTTTGCCGAAAAGCCGACCGCCAGTAGAAGCATGGGATGAGATTCGGTCGTCCGGCTTGTTGGACAGAGTTTCTCACCGAGGCAAAAGAGCTTTGTACAGTGATGGTGCACGAGCTTGGATGACTGCTGGCAAACATCTGGGCATCAAATGCTATCAGGTGTCACACCAGCGAAAAGAGTTTTGCCGCTCTCTCTCCGAAGTTGACCCCAAGCTTTCAAAGAAAGCTGGAACACAAGTCATTGACAGAAAGTGGAAGGCATTGAAAGACTTTTTGCCAAGCAACTACCACCGAAAGATCAATGGCCCACATGGCAGCCAAGTCAACCCTCGGATGAGACAGCGTGTCTTTCAGTTTTGCTGGCGCAATTCGCTGAAATGGCCGAGCCCAGCACAATTCTTAAAACAACTGGCAAAGTTGCAAGGAAAAAATTGCAGCGGCGTTAGTTTTCAGGGTGCTGAAAAATAGCCATTTTTGCCTGACGTCTAAATTCCAATGGGAAAAATACCTACATGATGGTTTCGTACCCAGGCGACTCATGGACCCGTGACCAAATAGTTTGGAATGGTTTGGAGCGGTCCAAAGCTCTTTGAATCTGTAATTAAATAATTTCTGTAGCTCAGGCCGTTTCGGAGCGCTTTGGAGCGATATGGTACATTTATAGGGAACTTGACCCATCCCCATATACCCTCTGGTCATTTAACATAGCTATTGAAAATGGCCATAGAAATTGCTGATGTACCCATGAAACAAATGGTGTTTTTCCATAGTTTTTTGTATGTTTACCAGAAAGTATCAGAATACAAGCTGATTTCATGATCCGGCCACTGGAGTGAACATTAATTTAAATCTAATCGGTGGTATACCTACCCCCTGAAAAATATGAAAGTCAGATTGGATCATCATCCCAACTAATGGGGAAAATAATCCAAAGCTTCCAAATCACCAGAATCACTTCTACTACTTCTACCATAGATGTTCCCATTTAATATGGGACGTTCCTGTAAACGTTCCCTTAAATCAATGGCCATTTCAGGAACCTATTTTGAAGGTACCTAACATATATAAGGCCTATGTAAGGGCTATGTAAAGGGATATACCGCCAAAATATGGCCTTATAATTATATGGTACAGTACCTCCATTTTAGGATCCTGGAACTACCATTGATTAAACCAATCCATTGAATGATCTGATTACCTCATGATCCAAACCAATTTGACCCGACTGGTCGATCAACAAACCACCCCTTTAAGAAGGACCCCCAAACGTGACCTGTGATGATCCCACTTTCCGTCCCCAAATCGTAAATGGCTATATCTCCACATCTGTTAATCTATGTATCACTAGAATGAGTTAGATGGGTTAGTATCTACACATCTATTAATCTATGTATAGATGGGTTAGTAATCACTAGAATCGGCTGGCGTTTTACTTCGATTCGATGTCCCCAACATAAGAAACATATAGAACCTTTTGAACGGATTCTGATTCCAACCAACATCACTGAATCCAAGTATATGTCCATTACATCGCCATGAATTATCATTAAATCTCCGTTTTGGTTGCTGCTCCAATCACCAAACATGATATACCCCAGGTTATTACCATAGTTATACATGGCCACCAAAAAGTAGTAGTAGAAGATTATGGCTATGCTAATTTACCTATAACGATTTTGTCCAGTTCAAAAACTGAAACCAAAAAGTCATCACAAAGGTCACCAGTCTCGTCAAATGGCTATGTATCAAGACCCGGGTACCCTAGGTACCCTAAGTCATAGCTGGTTGATGGATGTTTACCTATGACTGGTAAATTCATAGGTAACTGTGGACAAATCCCCACAAAAATCTCCGTTATTTATAAGTTGGTTTGTAAGCCCTATCAACAATAGTTATTTGCGTATCATAAACCATAGTTATTGGATTGGAGTTTATGTTCAGCAACTTAGCTATCATAAATCAGCTATAAATCCCATGAAGCCACCATTTTCCTATGGTTTTCCTAATTTTTTTAATAGTAAACGGGGGCCACACTGCAAGTTGCACCGTCCGGCACGTCACTTGGCAGGTGTTCACCACAACTTTCGCGCCTGCACGTAGCCTTCCAGGACATCATCCCCAGCAGCTCGGGCAACTGCCTGGAATTGGTGGAAGATGGGCACGGCCTGGAATGTGGGGCCCCTGTTTACGATAGCTTATAATGGTTTAACAACTATGGTGGAAAACTATGGTTTAACAACTATGGTGGAAAACTATTGATGGTAGATTTCTAAGTGGTTGATTTCCATGATGCTTTAAGTATAGTTCATCCAAGATAGCTGGCAGATGCTGACTTCGATTGGGTTTATTGTGGATATAACGACCTAGTATTCATTGGGTTTTTGTTAACCAACGTTCACATAACGTTTGGGGGCAGCATCCTGGGAAAGGGTGGGATTTTTCAACCACTTAGGGTTTTTCACCATAGTTAGTGGTGAATAGTAGCGTACTCTCAATTTTCATGGTAACATGGCAATGTCGGATGTATATATACCCATTTTCAGACAAACCCAAGTGGATTTGATGAGTTGTTTTTTGTGATCTTTAAAGTAAGATTTCACTTCGAAAATACGATGTGACATTTTTCATTATATATATATTACACTACATTAATGTATTTAGTAGACGTTCTCTTGAATCATTTTGGAGCTTGCTGTATCACATTGGTAAGAGACGGTTTATGCCCCCAACCCACTGAGAGTTGATAAGGAACTAATAATAGCAAAAATGGCTCAGTAATAATATGCAAAAATATCAGCAATTTGTTTTAAAACTAACTATAAGACAAATGAATGTATTAGACTAAACCAACTAAGGATAAGCCAATCATGGGGGCGCAATGGACTGATTCTCATTGTCAGGGGGCCATGGTTTTTTACAGTTTCCATCATGTGGATATGGTTCATTTCACCCTGGTACCCTGAAATTCACATCAAGTAAACATGAATTTTATGGGAAAACTCACTATAAATGGCAATTTTCAATGGCTTTTTGTATGTTTACCAAAGGGTAATTACAGATGTATTCTTTGAGCTTTGACCCACACCCTCATCTACCGTGGGGACAATTCATAAATGTGAACAATCGGTTCTTCTGGATGAAGTTGAGGGTGGGCTTGGAAGTTGAATCTCCCATCATATTCCATCAGAATCAGTGTACCCAGATGCTCCATGTATGGAATATTTACCTACATAACTGGGCCATTTTTGGGGTAAATGTAGGAAAATATTCCATACATGGAGCATCTGGGGTATGTGCCACTAGGTTTCTCACACCATTTCGATTACTTGGTGGCTCTTCACAATCTTCACACTAATCCTAAGTAGGTTAATTCGTTCACCCCAGTTATTTCAGTAGGATAAGGGGGGTTCATCCCTTACCGGGATGAACGAACCTACCAAGTAGAATAAAACCACCTTAAGTCGTGAAATCCACGATTCATATCCATCCAATTATGATGGTCAATTATTGATCCATTATTCATTCTTCATCGGGCACTAAAAAACCACCGCCAAAACGCCGGGATCGGCACGGCATGCGCACCTTCTGCAGAGCCTCCGTGGCGTCAGAAACGAAGCTCGTGCTATCGGAGACCGACAGGTCTAGGCCTTGGAGGTCGTTGAGGCGTCCGGTGAGGCGCCCGGTTCCGAAACGGAAACGGAAACAGCGACAGCTGCTAAGCCACGAATACTTGGATTTCTTAAGGAATACCTTCTGGTAAACAGACAAAAAACTATGGAAAACCCACCATTTTTATCCATTTTTAATGGGTCAATCAACTATTTCTATGGCCATTTTACATAGCTATGTTAAATTACCAGAGGGTAGCCATGGGATGTAGCAAATGTCTTAAGGGATAGCCATAGCTGATTTGGCTGAGTTGATTTCAAGAACTTGTTGAACTTTTGGATTTATGGGAAGTCTTAGCAAACGTGAATGGCTTCAATATGGTGCACAGCCAACACGTTAGTCGTTAACCTCACCCTGTGGATGTCCACAATTGTTCACATATGGTTATGGGTCAAAACCCTGGTGCCCGTCTGTTCACACCAAAATAGCTGGGATTTATGGATGTTCATCCCCTCAATTATGGTATTGTATAAGGTTTGACTCATCCACATAACTGGACCTGCACCTTAAAAATCCTCGCTATCGATAAAATGTTCCCAAATATATCGGAGAATGGGACAAATTTTTGATGTAATGGGAATGACAACATCCTGTGCAAACATATATATTTTGTTCATTCAGCAAGCCCTCAGAGGATTCGTGGGATATGATGGGAACATTGGGAACTCCATAGTTTTGAAAAATCTGGTGTACGGAAAAATCTTGGAAATTCAAGATTTATCCAAGATTCTGGGATATTAAGATGGGCTTTCTCCATATGGGATCAATATCCTCTGGTACATCAGGATTCAATATGGGATATTTTTAAGATTTTATACCTGAGGATATACCGAGATCTTGGGATCTCTTGGGCATATCTTGAGATTTTGGTATCTTTAAGACATTGCTAAATTGGATAAACAAAAACAACATCATATGGAAAACCAATAGGAATCGCAAGGAACAAACTGCAAATGGTGAGTGCAGTATATCCCAATAAATTGTCATTGCCATTGAACTAAATCCAATTAACCCCATTGAAATCCAATTAAATCCCATCAAAATTGGATTAACTCCTACAATGTGGGGCACGCGGTCGATAGCTAAATTGGTCAACATACCTCCAACAACTGTGGTTCATAGGATTCATAAACCAATTTAGAACAATGTGGGGCCCCACATTGTTAGCTACTTTAGTTCACTGGTGATCGCAACTCTAACGGGGATATAGTTCCATGTATATCACCCAATCCTATCATGTAAAATCACTATATATGATGGATTATCAATAGGTTATAAATTGGTTTATAAACCCCATGACAAGCCCAGTTACACACCCACCGCTGAGTCGCCGGGCATCCCGTGACCAACGCCGCGCTCGAGAAAACCTCGAGTTTTGGGGTAACCCGGTAACTTGAGGGAAATTTGACGATGGCAAATATAACTGGTTGGTGGTCTAAACCCCTCTGAAAAATATTAGTCAGTTGGGGTTATTATCCCATATATTACGGAAAAATAAAACATGTTCCAAACCACCAACCAGGTATAATATACAAAGTGTACAAGTTGGTGCCCGTAATTAACTCAGTCTGTTCAGACTTGCAATAACTAGGGGTTGCAGTACATAAATCTATAGATAAGGATAACTGAGCAAGGCACCACTTTTAGAAAATATTTGATATATCTGATTTATGGACAAGTGTATTAACTCTTCGGCCAAACACCTCAATTTGCCCAGGGCACTGTCAATCTGCCAAAAAAGCCTACATAGTGGGTCATTCTAACATTCCTGAAAACCTAGACATCTAAACATTAGCAAAACCTGAACCTCCTTCTTCTTAAACCCTAAACATGTGGAAACCAAAAAGTTATGTTGGGCAAAATTGCTGGTGTTTGGGCCGGACTTTTAAACTGGGATCCCCTCTATCATGGCATCATTTCAGATGACCCTTATAGTGTTGTTCTAGTTTATCTCAAGGAATCCTCCACCGCTGCCAAGGCTTGTGCATCCGTGGCAGTGAGTTTCTTGTGATCGAAATTGCTGAAATGGGATCTGTGGCATGTTTTGCCGCTTTCTTCCACAAAAGTTCGATACCGCCTGGCAGACGCAGGCCTCTTGAGTCTTTGTACTCAACTACCTGACGACCTGCAACGCCGCATCACTCGAGGCCGAAGGCACACCACCTGTCTGCATCACCTCTTAGCCACGTTAGCCACCGATGGTGCTTTCATGGACTGCCACAAACGACCATGGCGACCATGGTCATAGCTGAATTGACACAAATATATAACTTCTTGAACTGTTAGGTTTATGGGATAAACACACATCGTATTCAGAAGGGCTTACAATGTGGGGCCCCCCAGTGATGTTGATTGGTTCATAAACCCCATGAATACTATAGTTATAAGTATACCATAGTTATTGGAGTTATGTTCACCAACTTAGCTATCGACCGGGGCACCACCTTGTATAAACCAACAAACCAACAAACCAACAAACCGACCTGGGGCTCATTGAGTTTGATGATTTTCCCAGCGAAAGCTTGAATGCAGGGATCTCCCAGCGATGATTCTCCCAACTTCGGTGATTCGGGAAAGTCGAACAATGCCAAAAAAAAAGCTGTGTTTTATACCTTTAAAACTTGACAATCAATCCATTATGTGTGGATTCTTAATATGAAATGGATGACCATAACCCATTGTTTCCGTTACTTGATCATCACGGGCATGTTCATCGAAGTACTATCTCCCATGCTTAAACAATACGCTACAACTTGGTTCAACATTTGATCCAATCATAGCGCATTGTTATACAACTATAGCGGTCCTCATTTGATACTGGTTGGTGGTTTCAACCCCTCTGACAAATATGAAAGTCAGTTGGGATTATTCTTCCCAATATGATGGGAAAATAATCCAAATGTTCCAAGACCATGCCCATCCACATTGACCAGACCCATAATAAACATATGTCATCGAATTATATCTTATGATCTCTGAGTGACCCATGATATATTCCTGGCTAACTTAAAAAAAATCACTGAGTTATATCTAGTTCTATGACCAATGATGTGTCTGGCTAAAAAACATCATTAAATTCACTCACCTGAGACTTGTCCGGCCATTTTGGGATGATTCCCCTATAAAAAACATGATTTTTACATCTTCCCCATCTTACCATGGCCTTGGCGGTAGCTTCCCCAAACAAAAATCAATGGAGAAAAAACCCTGCAGGGGATAGTAGTGTATATAGTATGGGTTGCTACTTGTTAGGAACTTATATGTGTTAGGGACATACAACATCATACAGCTACCTTCTAAGTACCACCTAACATCTATAACCACTTGTAGAGGTTAGTAAGTTCCCGGTTCATTCCAGTGCCCCACTTCTGGTCGAGTGTCATACGAGATGTTGCTCTCATTCTGGGAGTCGTCACTCTCGTTGCCCATCACTGCAGCAGGCAACGGCCGTTGTTCAGGAAACTAAAAAAAAGCTACCGTACCATGTAACGCCATATTTGGATATATAAATTGGGGATATATCCCCTCAAAATGCTCTTACAATGTGGGGCCCCCAAGATAGCTAAGTTTGTTTATAATTCCAATAACTATGATTTATGGTACGCAAAAAACTATAGTATTCATGGGGTTTATAAACCAACTAACATCACTGGGGGGCCCCACATTGACATATCCCTTTACATAGGCCTCATATATTACCCTTTGGTAATTCAACATGGCTATTGAAAATGACCATAGAAATAGTGGATTTTCCCATTGAAAATGGTGATGTTCTATAGTTATGTTAGATATACTGGACTCGGTAGCTCCAATGAATCGGAACCATCACACCAGGCCATCAGTGCAAGAAGTGGAACATCGTGGAACGGTTAAGGCCTGGCCATGTTCAATGGGAAAGCATGTACAATGTCGTGCCACAAACCATAGGAAAACCATAGGAAAATGGTGGTTTCATGGGATTTATAGCTGATTTATGATAGCTAAATTGGTTTATAACTCCAATAACTATGGTTTATGATACGCAAATCACTATGGTATTCATAGGGCTTATAAACCAATTTATAACGTTTGGGGGCCCCACATTGTACAATGTGGGAAGGAGCATTGTATTCTAGGCTAAGTTCGAGGAATATCTCCAGCGCCGCTAGAGGCCAACTTGTTGGTGATGTATTTCATTCTGCACCCATTATGGTTGGCTTCATATTCACATGCTCGTTGAGCAAACTCCATGGTACCCCCCCTACTTTTAGACACAGCCAAGCCGTGACTTTTGTTGGCCAAGTTCTACTCAATTACCATTTTTGTTGGTTAACTCCCATTAGATCCCTATATGTTTGGCAAAATCCGAATCTCATGAAATCACCGATTTTGTTGAAGTCGCCTTTGAAACTCACCAACCAGCTATTTTTTCTGTCACCGTTCCCATTACGTTCCAAAAGATAATCCATATACTATTATAATATATTATCTATCTATCTATCTCTCTCTCTCTATATATATATATATATCATTAAACTTATAATCCCATTCATTTTCCAATGTTTGTTGGCCATTTGTTGGCTCAAACCCCAGTAAAATCCACCCAACCGCCCCCCCCTGGGCAGCCCAAACTCAGACGGCGCCCCGCCGCGCCAAAACCCATGGACTCGGACGCATTCCTGTGCAGAACGCTTGTGAAGCCAGCAGTAGGATCTGTGAGTTGAATCTCATAACAATGGCTATAAGAGATTCAACCAAAAGATCATGCTAATTTTATGGTGGTTAATTTGGAATCAATGGGATCCAACTAAAACACATTAGTGGCGTTTTTAATGGTAATTTGAGGGGATTTAACAGGAACTGCTGATGTAAATACCGTGCTATAGGTTGTAACCACTTGAGTTTAAAAATGTTCCCCCCAGCGAGAATAGTTGTTATACCACCAACAACCATTCGTATTCTTACTAGTACATAAACATACGCATATATATAATATACTCTATATATATTGTTATATATATTATATATATGTATTATATATTATATATATATATATTGTATACATATGATATAGGTACTACGACAACATAAGATCGATACATCCATACTAATATCCACAAGCATCTTGATCCATACCAGCAGGTATAGGCTTGAAACACAGCCATCATCAAGCTGCTTGGTGGTTCACCTCAAAGATGAAAGTTTAAGTCCAGCTATGACTGCGGTCATAACCCGCACAGTAACTGGGAATATAACTACCCTCTGGTAAACGTTAAGAGTTTGCTATTGAACATGGCCCAGTCGAAATAGTTGATTTACCCATTAAAAATTGTTATGTTCCATAGTTATGTAAACGTTTACCAGAGGGTATCATATTCTATCCAAAGTATCATCCCGCTGGTTTATTTTCGAAAATCAGCTGGATTCCGCGATGGAAATTCCCAGCTGGAACCGTAGCCTATGGAAGCCATGGCCCATAGAAATAGATGATTTTCCCAGTAACATATCCATTTATAATGGATTTTCCAGTTCGCTATGTTAAATAATATGTTGCTTAGCTTTTACAGGAGTTCTGCTTTTGCATCTCACCAAACGAAGTGTGGACAGCGCCACCCCAGCTGTCAGCAAGCTGCTGACGATGATCGTGATGAAAAAGGAAGCCCTGGAAAAAAGTAGTGATAGATGGGGCCACGTCGTCTCAATCAGAATTACCTTCAACTCTTCTGAACAACATATGGTTGCTTTTACATCTATGTATATATTAAATATATATATATATGTAGATGTATAGATGTATGAAAAAAATAAATGTATATTGTATACATCATATCTCACAAAATCACATGTTTTAAGTTTTCCATTAATTATCGGTTGTTTTGCTGGCTTAAATCGCATAAAGCAAGATTTTTTTGGGGTCGACCCGTCTCCGAACTGCCGCAGTTCCCGCCACTTGGATCGCCCACCAGCGGTCGCTGCTGTCGTCCGACGCGTTCCCGTCGGTGTCGTCGGAAGCGTTTTTGTCTGCAACGACGCAGGGGTGAAATTGAAGAATCAGTTGGTTTATAAGTTGAATAACTAGGCTTTTTGCTGGGGCTTAAATATATATATATAAACAGATACTTTGGTTTATAAACCAACAAACATAACTGGGGCACCACCTTGTACCTAGATGGGCCATGGGATTAACGATTCCTGGTTAGTAACTGGGGATTCTTTACCCTCAAAAAATCCCAATGAAATAATCCATGGCTACTAACTAGTTTTCCAAAACTCCATGGCCCATCTAAGAAGGTGGAGCCCAGTAGGTAGCACAATTGTGGCCCAGATTGGCCCACCTAACAGTTATGACTAGCTTATTTCATGATATATACAACCTTAGTTTTAGGAGTTATGATATGATCCTATCTCTAGCACTTTTGAAGGCACTGTCTGTAGTAACATCCAAAAAAGTGGTTGAAAAGTGAAGAAAACATGGAACATATAACATATCAGGAAATGATCGTCAAAAAACATCCTGGTGTCACATTTCTCGGCATCTTTGAAGGGTTGCTTTATGTTGTGCTTCCAATCACTTGGATCCATGGTGGACACGACAATTATTTGGATGTCCTCGGACCGCCCCTTTATCTTCTCCAAGAGCTTGCGTACTAATCAACCAACTTGGTTAACATGTTAACTAAGTCCTTTGAAGTCCCATTAAATCGCACTAAATGCATCTAAATGACATTAAATCTCATTAACTGTAGATGATATACCCACCACAAATCCATGTTTTTGCTGGCATTTCACTATCCCGTATGGAGACATATATTATATCCCCTTCCACCATTAGCCAATCATCAGCCTGCATCCGTGGTGGTGGTGGGCTCCATGGTAGTGGTCATTGTCATGCTGGTCTCGTTTTCCATGGTCATATTACCTGTGGCGCGAGAGGATCAACGGTTGATCTGGGTTGATGTTCCAGGCTAGATATGAATGGCAAGCGGGAAGGAAGGGGATCAAGAGGAAGATTTTTACATGAACGTTAAGAATGATAGCGGTACTTAGATGGGCCATGGGATTAACTAACTGGTTAGTCATTGGGGATATAACCCTCTATATCCCAATGAAATAATCCATGGCTACTAACTAGTTTTCCAAAACTCCATGGCCCATCTAAGGACGTGATCATGAATTAGCGCAATTGCGGAAAGCGCATTTTGAATGTTCACCATTTTTTTGTGCAAGGAGGTGCAATCAAATCAGGATACATTTGTACTGTGCAAAGAATAGACTGGGTAAAGAACAACGTACTACCATCCGCATATACCTAGCAATGCCGAATTAATACTGCTACCAGTAGTACCGCACAAGGCGGTGGCGGAAGTTTCAGAATAGGAAACCTATAGGAGACGTTGGTTGTTGTGAATCAGGGATGGCAGAGCGAAGCCACTGATTGACCGAAAGGTGGTTGGAGTTGTGTTTGCTGGAATGGTTGCAATGGTTGCAGTGGTCACCTCACCCACAACTGCTGGATGTAGTGTGATGTACTGCAACTGTAGTTGTAGTTGTAGCGTAGTGGAGTTGTAGTTGTGGTGTAATGTAATTAGTGTAGTGTAGTTGCAGTCATATAGTTGTAACTAGTTGTTTTGTAGTTGTAGTTGTAGTTGTAGTTGTAGTAGTTGTAGTTGTAGTTGTAGTTGTTGTAGTTGTTGTTGTTGTTGTTGTAGCTGTAGTTGTTGTGTGGTTGTAGTTGTTGTGTAGTGTAGTTGTAGTAGTAGTAGTTGTTGTTGTTGTAGCAGTTGTAGTTGTAGTTGTTGTTGTTCCTGTAGTTGTAGTTGTAGTAGTAGTAGTAGTAGTAGTTGTTGTTGTTGTTGTGGTTGTTGTTGTAGTTGTTTGTTGTTGTAGCTGTAGTTGTTGTAGTTGTTGTAGTTGTAGTTGTTGTGGTTGGTGTTGTTGTTGTTGTTGCTGTTGCTGTTCCTGTTGCTGTTGCTGTTGCTGTTGTCGTCGAAGTTAGGGTAGTTAAGTTAGTGAAGTTAGTTAAGTTAGTCAAGTTAGTTAAGTTAATCAGTGTCTACTTTTTCGACATCTTCACGTCAAAAAAGGCTCAAAACCCTCAGTTTTTTACACTTTTGACTTCGAAATGTGCTTCGCGCCACAACGGCGTGCACTTTTTCGACACTTTTTCGACATCTGAACCTCCAAAAGTGGTCCGAGACCGTCAGTTTTTAACACTTTTGACTTGGAAATGTGCTTCGCGCCACCACGGCGTGCACTTTTTCAACATCTCAACTTCCAAAAGTGGTCCGAGAATGGTGTGTTTTGTACATTTTGACTTGGAAATGTTCTTCGCGCCACAACGGCGTGCACTTTTTCGACATCTCAACTTCCAAAAGTGGTCCGAAGCTGGTGTGTTTTGTAAATTTTGACTTGGAAATGTGCTTCGCGCCACAACGGCGTGCACTTTTTCAACATCTCAACTTCCAAAAGTGGTCCGAGCCTGGTGTGTTTTGTACATTTTGACTTGGAAATGTGCTTCGCGCCACAACGGCGCGCAATTTTTCATCTCTCATCTGGCCTGGCTCCGCACCCGCCGCTTTAGCGAGCCTACTTTTCGACCCTCTGGAGCCCCAAATCATTGGAAAAACACAGTGTTTCGCGACTTTCCTACCTTTTCGCGCATCTGCATCTTCTTTCTTCTGATCTTTTCTCTTCTGACTCTTTTCACCTCTGCTTTTCAACTGTCCATATTGTCGGAAGTTTCACTTCTAAACTTCCTTCGATTACCTCAGTAATGTCTGGTTATTACATGTTGTTACCATCGACAAAAATCTTCAATCAAGTAATACTGATTACCCCCTGAGATAACCATTCATCTTGGGCTAAGGGTTGTCTCATTGTGGTACCTGGTGTTCACATTTCCCAAAGTGATAAACCAAGGACGAAGGGACCAGTTTGCTCAGGGAGTGGGGACAAATCTCTTAGCCTCTTGCAGTCTTGCAGCAACACATTTCTAAACCAACTTAGCCAACGCACTGGGGCCCCCTCTACCAGATTCTATCAGCCAATAACCCCGATTGTGGGTGGACTCCACTACATGTACATAATTTGACCCCAATATTTCCCCAGAGTTACTCTCCAGTGATCAAACATGGACACATCCCCATGGTGGATTTTCCATTGCCATGTTTGATAACCGGAGGGTACAACCTAGTTTCGAAGTACAATGAAACATCAGGAAATTGCGGCATCACTTTATACAGGGTGGTGCCCCAGTTATGTGAATGTTGGCTTACAAACCCCATTAATTATAGACTATGTATCATGTCATTGGAGTTATTTGCACCAACTTAGCTAACTTATATCTACCAGAAAGCAGCCAGATTCAGAGAAACCATAGAATTCAGCCACTGAATTTCAGGGCGTAACTGAACGTGTTTTCGACAGCGGGGGCCCATCCTCTAGCTAGAGGATCAACCCGCTTAGGAACGTGCCACGACATGTCGTATGTCCGATGTTCCTCAAAAAGGATGATGTCGGACCTTCACTGGGTCAGTTTCAATGAAATAACCAAGTTTTGTTGGCTCACTGCCATAAAACTCTTATTTTTTGATGGTTAAATAGATGTAAATGTATCCTTATGATCTATATGTTCGTTCGATTCCCATCTTTTATCACCTTTTGGTCAGTTAAATCCCATTAAGAACGCAGCAAAAATCACCATGCTCCATACTTGTCCCTAAACCCTTCACCAACCAATGGCCGCAACAAGAGCGATCCCCAATGGAATGACGCAGTCTTCATTCATCAGGTCGTACCCCAAATGCTGCTCAATCCAAGGCACAACCTTGAGGTAAAAAAAAGATCAGGTGCGAGACGTATCTCCAAGCGTATTGGTTGGGTAAGAAGTTGGTGATTAGCCCTCGGCCCTGCGTTCCCAGGTGAGAATTAGCCTCCTGACCAAGGGATCATGTTTTCTGTGGTTCTCAGGCAAAAATGTATGTGTAGGCGGCATATTCAGCCTTGTAAGCACCATTGAATTCCCATGAAATCACTATTGTTCCATACCTTCTTCCATATCTTTCCCTATTCACCAATATTTTTCTGGTTGGTGGTATACCTACCCCTCTGAAAAACATGAATCAGTTGGGATCATGACATTCCCCATGTATGATGGGAAAGTCATAATCCAAATGTTCCAAACCACCAACCAGATCCTATGGTTTTCCTATGGTTTTCCTATGGTTTTCCATGTTCCAAACCGCCAACTTTGACAGTCCCAAGCCCTCCAAGTTGCTGTCATTTTCCATCTCCGTCTCGTTGCTGCCGTTGCCGTCCAAGTCCTCGTCGTCGAGATCGTCCTCGTCCACCGGGCTCCGGTCCAGGGTGCTGGTCATGGTGCTGGTACTGGTGACCTGACATGGATGGCTACTTGGATACAACTTGGGGCCCCCAAACGATAGCGTTCAGTTGGGGGCCACATAACTCCAATGTCACTATGGTTTATGGTACTTATAACTAAACTTACTGGGGTTTATAAACCAAATTATAACTGCAAATAACTAAAGTTAATGGGGTTTATAAACCAACAAACATAACTGGGCCCCACATTGTAGGATTTCGAGAAAGTTATGGTGATTTAGTGGGATCTAAACGCGGCAACCTACTGATTTTGAGGGGGGTTCAGCTTTCAATGACCATTTCGTGGTTTAATTTAATGATGATTTGGTGGGAACCTGATTATGATTGTAGCTTTGGGATTTCCAGCAATAAAAATTGGGATTTAGTGAGATTTCAACCTAATCGTGATTTAACCAGTCCAAATAGTGATTTCAGGGGATTCCAATCAAGAACAACTTTGCATGTCAACAGGAAAACATGTGTTTAGTAGGGTTTTGCGCGTGAATTCGCCAACAAACATCATGATTCATACGTGTTTATACAGGATTTTAAGCAAGAAGTGGTGATTAATGGGATGTCAACCAAGAAAATTGATCATACAATGGGACTTTAACAACCCAAACTGATGATTTACTAAATGGGAACTGAAACAGCAAACGAAGTGACTCAATTGATTCTAAGTTGCTAATAACCTGCAAAAAGTAAATGCATAATTGGGGATATACTTTTTATAACTTGGATAGGGGTACCCCTCTCCTCATGGCAATCTTCCTTGTTGGAGTACCCTTTTTCAGACATACCCACGGAGGGGTTAGACACCACCAATGTTATGTGAAACAGGGATGTAATGGGATGTACGCGGTATACAGTGTTTATGTCGGTTGGACTGTTTCTATCTTGGGATTTTCTGTTGCAGGGGTAGAAACTAACTACACAAGGTTTACGGGGTGAGACATAACCTACCAACAGGTATAACATATGTGCATATCTAAATTAATATATATATATATACATATACTATAGTATAGTATATTATATGTATATATTCGGTCCCATCAACAAGTTCTGTTTTCAAGGCGAGATTGATTTCCAACACGGCAATTCCTTGCACCACCAGGCAATGCATCCGGTCGTACTGGAGGCAAATGATACGGTCTGGCAATTCAATGATGGTTTGCCAAAAAAAAACAATGTAGATTTCACGTTGTCATGTTTGATTGCCGGGCGTTAAGGCATACCACATGGCAAGGTGCTATAGGCGTATGACTGTGACGATATACCACACTACCAAGTTGAGAACATGTCGGCCCGGAGCGAATCTTCCCAGAGCGGACCATCTGGAGCGGAGCACAGACCCAAGCTTTGTTCCAACTCAGAAAATTTGACCTTGCTTACTAAAGCGTGCTGGAACCTGCATGGAGACGAGCTCGGGCCAAGAAAACAGCTTCTCTTTGAACAAAAACATCATCAACTATTGGTGCCGCACAGTTCTTTGGGGGAAATGCTGAAACCATATTAGCAACAAAAACAAAACGGGAAAATACGTTTGTGCCCATGTTTGTTGAGGGACCCCTTGTAACGACTTTCGACACAAAAATGGCGAGGAGGCGACGAAAGTACAAACCGACCAGGTCTGCATTCATTCAAACCGACCAGTGTCTGTATAATCCTGCAACTTTCGATAAAGATCTGCCGTGATAACTGGTGAACCTTACGATTTTGTCGCTACATCCAAATTTTTCTGGCGCCAATCTCTTCATTCCACAAACCATTTGGAGTACTGGTCAAACATTGAGAATCCCTAAGAAACCATGACCCTTTGGTCATGTTTTTTCTCAACGTAAGTACTAAGTTTTGGGGCTAGCCTATGACTTGATCCATACCAATTTGACAGGGACTGAGCCGTCCCCTGACTGTGATTATTTCACAAAATCCTCCATCATCTTGACGAAAAAACCGTGCAAATTGCACTTGGATGGGCCATGCTGAGTTGGTAAACTGGTGAATTTCTGTGGGTGAACTAACTCATGAAATAACCTATTATCATTTATGATTGAGGCTATAACTCACAAATTCACCACTCCAGTCATCAAACGTGGCTTGCTTAAAAAAAACAATTTACTTCAATGATTGTCCCAGCTATAAACCGCCATAAAGTGCGGATGTCCCATATTTCCTATGGTTTTCCGCTGGCTTTTCCATTCAACCCTCCATTTCGTATCGATTCTCCATAGCCATGGCCGTGGCCTAACTAACCCCGTTCACCCTGGCCCCAACTCGTTCCCATCGTCCCAGCTGCGGTGGTGGCGACGCTCACCGTGGTGATGAGATTCAAATTTTTGCTCAGCACCAAGACCTTGGTAAATGAACCATTTCTCAATGGCCCCAAGGCCCATTTTGGGTCAATGGCCATGACTCACCGATGAAAATTGGAGTTGTCCCGATTCCATCTATGTTTGGCCTCTCTTTTTAGGCTTAAATTTCAGGGAATATCCCAACAAAATATGGCTTTACCCTCTGGTAAACTAACATACCTATGGAAAATGGGTGATTTGTAGTTGATATACCTATTCAAAATGATGATTTCCCATAGCTATGTTAAATTACCATCATAGGGTATATGGTACTAACGAACCTCCATTGATCCCCAAATTCCCGTTTCCAGTGGCGTGGGTTGACTAAACCTGAAGTCGATGGCAAAAAAAGGGCCCCTGGCTGAAACCGAAACCATAGGAAAATGGTACTTTAGCCAAAAAAAAATGGGAGATTTTATGGGATTTGCAGCTGATTGTTGATAGTTAAGTTGACTTACACAACTTGGTTACAGTAATTGCTGGGTTTATGGAGGATATAAACTATGGTGAATGGGTGTACTGTAATACAAACCAGCTAACATCACTGGGGGGGGGCCTCACCTTGTAAATTACTTGACGCTTTTAACTGTAAAATAAGAATTGATCTCAATAACTCGGTAAAGAAACACCCGTCAATCAACTGTGGTACTAAGCATGGCAATGCTAAACATGGAATACTCAGGGATATTAAATCATAGTATTAAACATAGCAGAGAAATATCTTGACCATAGTAGGTATAAGCCAGATGAGTCATACGCACAGTTGAGTATCACTTAAGTTAATTAACAAACATCAATAATGGTTACATGACCAATTTACTGCAATGGTTCCAGTAAATTCAATTTCCCGTATGAATCAGAGCCAATTCACCCTCACCATATCAAAACTTGGATTTGCTCAAGGAAGCACCACCCCCCAAAAACATCTCTGCAGATTCACCATGTCCAATGAATTTCTTGGGAAAATTGCCAGCCAGGGTGCTGTGATTGACGCCAAACCCAAGAAGTTCTGCATCTCATCATGCAACAACTGGCTCACCTGCCAGGCTCTAACAGAGTGACCAAAAAACCGGTGGCTTTCATCGGGGTTTTGGAAGTCATGGGAGATGTCCAAGAAAAATACTGGATTAAACAAATGGGATTGATTGTATGACGTCTTTTGGGATTTAAGTAACACAAATGCTGATCGAATAGGATTTCAACCAAAAAAATGTCAAGAAACCATGTCATGGTCATTGGTGGAATAACAGGCTCAAACGACATCTGACAAAACTGGGACCAAAACTGGATAGCCATGAGCCTTGGGTTTTGAGCGACAAGAGGGCAGGTTACACAGAACAACAATAGTCACGATCAATTTTGGGCAAATACCCTCTGGCAACTTAACATGGCTATGGAAAATGGCCAGTTATAGTTGATTTACCTATTGAAAGTGGTGATGTTCAATAGTTATGTAAACGTTTACCAGAGAGTAGTTCATTGGAATTTCAAGATCTTACCGTGAGAATGACAATGTTGTTCACACAAATGTACCCTCTGGTAAACTAAGATAGGTATATTGAAAATTGCCATTTACAGTGAATTTCCCCATTAAAATTGATGTTTTTCCAAAGTTATGTTAGTTTACCATTTGCCAGAGGGTAAATTCCATCCACCAAATCCTGTTGAACATCGGATTCACCAACGGACAGCCGTACAAACAGTCCGACAAGACCTGAGGCAAATACGGTTTGACTTCTCCTGTTGGCCTGGTAATGGATCCTCAACAACGGGCTAAAAAGTCCCCAATGGGGCCTGGTTGGTGGTTTTACCCTTGAAAAATATGAGTTTGTCAATGGGAAGGATTATCCCATATATTATGGAAAACAAAAAAATGTTCCAAACCACCAACCGGGGGCAAATCGGGGAAAAGGGGGGCAAACGAACACAGACAATGACAAATTGTCTGCCCTTTGTGGCTATCATTCGGCCAGAATCTAGGCAACGTAACTTTGTGAGGCACACACACATATGTCAAATAAACAACTGGCAATTTTGGGGATGATTCGCCCTTCAAGTATTAAATATTAGCATCTACCCTCTGGTAAACTAACATAACTATGGAAAATCACCATTTTTAATGGGTAAATCCACTAAAACTGGGCCATGTTCCATAGCCATGTTAAGTTACCAGAGGGTATGAACCACCATTTTTCCGGCCTGTTGTGAGGTCATTGTAGAGGTTTATGGAGGTTTCCGTTTTGTCATGGGGATACCCCAAGTCATCCAAGTCATCAGACCATGAAGTAGTATTGAAACATATTGACACCCATGGTGACTTGAGGATCTCCCATTTTAAGACATACCCAAAAAAGAACATCCATTAATTTCATATAGTTATAAGTTAGTTTGTTAACCCATTAGCCGTGGTGGATTATCCACCATAAACCATATAGTCATTATAGTAAACTAAATTACTTATCATATATCAATATAAATCAGCGATAAATCTTATCAAATCCCAGTGGTTTCTTGGTTAAACGAACATGTTCCTACAATGGGGGCACCACGTTGTACAAGGTGGTGCCCCGGTCAATAGCCAAGTCGATGCAAATAACTCCAATTTCACTATAGTTTATAGGTAATATATCTAGAGGTTTCATGGGTTTATAACATGTTATAACTACTTTAATAACATTTTTTTGGCACCACCTTGTGGAAAAGTCCCATATTTACCCTCTGGTATTTTAACATAACTGTTAAACATGGCTGTTTATAGCTGTAAAATGGCTATTTAAAATGATGATCTTCGATAGCTATGTTATAATGACCACTGGTATATATTGGTGGTTATATAATGACCATTGGTGGTTATATAATGACCATTGGTGGTTATAGCTAGTTTATAATTACCACCCATAAATAATGACCATTGTTAATATTATGGCAAATAATAACCACCATATTACCACTGGCTATATAATGGTGGTTCTATCCCCATCCACTGGCGGCACCGCCATCCCATGGCCCGCCTGTTGCAGCGACATGGCGTCGATCGCCTGGCGGCTTCGATCGCCTGGCGGCTTCTTTCGGCCGCCTGGAGGCGACAGCGGCGTCGAAACAACGGACGCCACGGTAACCATTGTGGAACCTACGTTTATCTATAATGGTACCATTTATTCACATTATGTAGATAATCTAGGTTATAACTTAAGTTATAACCATTATGTGGAAATAATATAGTATCATCCGGAAATAGATAGATTTGTGCATTTTTTCAACCTTATTCCCATTCTTGTGGGGATATGTTTTGAAGCTTCCATAGTTTAGCTAATTCAGGATATATCCAACTAAGAGAAATATGCATGGATAGTATAACTTCTATCACATCCGTATTGAACCCAGTTATAGTTATAGATGTCTAGGATATACCGTTGTAGCCATAGGAAAACCGTGATCTGATCCATGATTCTTTGGGTTCGAATCATATGTAGTATAGCTCCGATGATATAGTATAAGTAGTAGGTTGTACAATATGTACAACCCATATGTAAGTAATATGAATACTTGGGGAGTGTATCCCTTTCCCGATTTACTATGATATCCTTTTTTAAGTAGATTGAACCCTATGATAAGGTAATTTCTTCACAGTAATGGATATTTAACCAACACACCAACACTAGTATTTGGCTTCCATAAAGGCTTACTAACCACAACCACGGTGACCTAAGCCAACCCGCTTGATCAGTATAGTACATCACCTTGGTTTTTATTGGACCATTGACCAACTCCCAAGGTTCCACCCAAAACAATAAAAACACAGCAAAAATGGCATTACATTTACCCTCGGGTAAACATTTCTGGTTAGTTGGTCAGTTGGGATTATTATTCCCAACTGAATGGACAAATAAAAAATGTTACGAACCATCAACAAGATTTACATAACTATGGAAAAGCACAATTTTCAATGGGCTAATCAACTGTTTCTATGGCCATTTTCAATAGCAAACTGTTAGTTTCCCAGAGGATAGTTGGACCAAACATCTGTGATTTTCGATACTACAAGCAGCCTGAGACCCTTTGAGTGCAACCTTTCAATTTTGGATGACTCCATCCAACATATCCAACATTGAAACATAATTTACCGGTTGGTGGTTTTAACCATCTTGAAAAATATGAGTTCGTCAATGGGAAGGATGACATCTCATATATGACATGGAAAATAAATTCATGTTTGAAACCATCAAGCAGTTTATATATTATGATTTCAGAATATTTGGGGCACAACTCTTTTTCGCGAATCAATCACTCACCAAGATTTCTGAAAAAACCTCGGGAAAAGCCTCGCGCCCTGCCTGGACAGCTGCTTCTGCACCCATGCTGGCAGGAAAAACGATGACCTTGGGCCGTGCTAGGTGCCTGCTAGGTGCAATGTGGGGCCCCCCAGTTATAAGTTGGTTTATAATCCCATTATACATATAGATATATCTACTGCAAATCCTAGTTATTAGAGTTATAAACCAACTTAGCTATCTTGGGGGTACCACCTTGTAATCCCATTATACAACTAGTTCGATATATCTACCATAAGTCCTAGTTGTTAGAGTTCTAAAAGTTCCCTGTTTCTTGGGACCATGAATTTGTTGAGGGGAAAACCGGGGAAAACCGGAAACACCCGCAATTTTGATGGCTAATCATCACTGTCATTCACTTTCTCAAAATGAAGAACGCTGCAATAAAATGGGGTATACTGTCTACCCCATTTTGAAGACAAACATGGTAAACCCATTGAATCATTTGAGTCTCAAGTCAAACAAGTCAAATACCAAAGTCTATGGCTATGACTGGAGCAGGTTTGGCCATACCTATATCCATACATAAAAACCCCCAAGAAATGGCCTTGTTGAATCTAGAAAAACATACCTATATCATAACATTGAATTGGTTAATCCCTTGTCAAACCTTTAAAAGTTCTACCATATCATAAGGCCATAAGGTTTGGTTGAATTTGTTAATCAAACCAATGTTATAATTGGTTAAACCCGAATTTTGAATCCCCATATCAGATCCCACTATCTCCTCATATTTCTCACTAGATCACAAGTGCCATCACCGTTTTTCTTGGTTAGAAAACCACTAAATCACCATGTTTTGTTGGTTGATATCCCAATGAACCATCATTCCTGTGGGTTGAATCCAATAAGAGAACTCAGATAACCACGAAATCACCATCCTTGTTGAAGAAATATCCAACTCAATCACCATCAAGTCATCTACACAGTTATGACCATTTATTAGTTATATCTGGTTATAAGTGGGATTGTACATTTTGTAAATGGGGTTTTATTAGTATTTATAATTGGTAAAGGGCCATAACTGCAGTAGAATCACCGTGAAGTCCCATCAAATCACGTTAAAGTCCCATCACCCACTGAAATTCCCATGAAATGACCGAATCAAATCCTACATTTTTTCTCGCAAAAAAATACCGTCAAAATCCGTGACTCAAATCCAATGAATTCCCCATAAATCCCATTTATAGTATTTGATTGGATTCAAAATGTTGGTGACTCGAATCCCATTTAATCACCATAAATCCAATCAAATACTATAGAATCACGTTAAAGCACTCCAAAAAAAAATCCAATCAAATGCACGATGAATTCCCACAGGGTGGTGCCCCCCAAGTTATAAGTTGGTTTATAAAGCCCATTACCTATAGCTTATATTCCCCATAAACCGCAGTGGTTGGAGTGATAAACCAACTTAGCCAAGTATAATTCCTATTAAATCCCATTAGACAAACATATATGAGCGATTGTGAAAACCCTAGGTTCACGGTAGTAGAAACCAGGTCCGCCCAAACCAGAATCCTCGCCTCCAAAGGTTCCAAGCAGCTGCGGTTCAACAAGGTTTTGCATCCATCGCTGAGGTCGTTCGGCGATCTTCGCTTGACAAAAGGTAGCTGCAGCGGCAGCATATGAATTGATGGTTGAATTGGAAAATGAAACTGGCAAATGGTAAAACTGTATGGGAAATGCTATCACATCAGCACTCCCCCTTTGACGTGCCGTTCGGCACAGTCAACCTGAGCCAGCTCAAGCTACCTATTCACATCCAAACATGCAGTGCAAAGGCTGAATGTTTTTGATCCTTCAGCTCTTTCGCACATTGGATTAGAGTGCGCATCTGACTCCCAGCTTGAAATGAACATCGCAGCACCATGTGAAGGAAAAACGCCAGATTGAACCGCTTCTCTTCTGCATTCCAAACACCATCGCCTGTTTTTCCTCGCACCAGTCGCCGGGGCAGTTAAATACCGGCAATCCCAGTGGCAGTGGTAAACTGTTCCGCTTCTTGAGGTTATCACCAAAAACGGCAAATCCACTGTTTCATACTCGTTCAACTGGTTGTGGGCTGGTCCAAGCAAAGGATGGCCTGGAGGTGCATGAGTCAGTTCGGCTGTGATCAGCCGCTCTTCGCGTTCAATCTCATTCCATTCACGTAGGCAATCATTTCCTGGTGGAACATTTTGAGGTCTTGGCGTTGAGGACGTTGGCACTGTTGTGCTTCCAGCCTGAGTTTCTGGTAGCGGAGCTTGATCTCCTGTTTCTTGAGCTCGTTCTTCACCACGTGGCAGCGGAGCAGGTTGATCTGGTAGCGAAGCAGTTGGCATCGTTGATGGTCTTTCGATCACCTCGGTGGAGCGGCTGGTGTTTGATGCCGCTGAAGCTGGCAAGTTCTCCCTTGAGGACATACTTGAACTGCTTCTCACAGCGCCTTCAGAGTGACTTCCAGGTTGAGCAGAAACGTGCTGTCGCAGACATTCTACTCCCCGTACTCCAGCTTCCCAAATTCGCTGTGCCATCAAAGTTACGATGACCACCACAAATGTGTAAAGAATGATGATCTCAAAAGATATCGATTCTTCTGCTTCGTCTCCATCTCGCGCTGCCTTCGAAATTGACATAGTCGCCGCCATAGTGATCAGGCGAAGAACCTGAGCTGCTTCAGCCAAACGGTGGCTGTCTTTAGTGGTCAAGGGACCGTCCTGCTTTTCACTTTCTTTTTCTTCACTTTTCTCCTCCTTTTCTTTCTTTTCTCCTCCTTCTTTCTTTTCTTCTCCTTCTTTCTTTTCTTCATCACCTTTTGGGGGCAAAGTGCCCATACCCATGAGTTTCTTCAGAAATTCAAAGCGCACCGAAGCAAGCGGTTTGGTGCCGATGTCGGCCAGCATGAACTCTCCTGCCACATGCTGTGTAGACCACTCGCCTGCCAGAATTGACTGCCTGGCAAAGGAGCAGCGCAAGCGTAAATGGCGAGTTCGCCAATTCCCTCCATCTGTGGTGAGGATCGCTTGTGCTGACATGCTGTCGGTTTTCACCACTTTGGTGGTCATAGGAAAGATCTCGGCCAGGATGACGTAGATTGATTCACCTGCGATCATTCCCTCCACTATTTCTGTTAGCTCAGCTTCTGCTGTGCTGAGTGTCATGAATCCCTGCCTCCCAGATCGCCAGAAGATAGGCGTGGCCCCCAACATCACAATGAAGGACCCGTGAGACTCCTGGGAATCTGGAGCGAAGCTGGCGTCCGTGAACACCGTGAGGACTGGGTGCTCATTCTCAGCGACCTTGAAGATCAGGCCCTCATCTGTTGTAGCCTTCAAGTATCCCTTGAGCTGGGTGGATACCTTGAGGACTGCTTCAGGGGCTCTCGTCACTGACGACCCCATCCGGGCCACCGTGAACATAATGTCCGGTCTGGCACGGGTGGTGAGCCAGAGGACTTCTCCTACGGCTTTTTGTGCCGCTCGAATTTCTTCTGTGGTTGGAGCTTCTGTTGACGGCTCCATCTGTGACTGATCCCGTGAAATCGGAATCTTTTTGATCTTCAAATCCTTCTCCTTCTGCACCATATCTGTGGTATAGCTCTGCTGCGTCACCATCCAAACATCACGTTGTGATTGATCGCACCAGTGCTTGGAAATCTCAACTCCAAGAAATCGCACTGGGGCTTCACTGACCATCTCAGGCTGTGAGGTGCTCCACGTTGATTGAAGCTTTTTCTGGATGATGTTGAGCAAATTGGGTGATGATGCCACCATGATATCATCCACATACGTCATCAGCAGGGCATACACGGTGGTGTCTTCTGGGTCTTTGGAGTTCATCAAACGCCAAAGGTTCGGCTCGGACTGCAGGGCTTCAAAACAGAAGTCCATCATCTTGTTGTTGTACTCCCCCTGGATTTCTAGGGCTGCTATGGTGTCATCTCTGGTCAGTCCCCAGAGCTTGGGTGAGCGCCGAAGCCCGTAGGTGGCTTTTTCAGGCAGGTAGTACACATCTCTTTTGAGGTACTTCTTCTCGGTGAGGAGCACAGGCGGCTTGACAAGGATCACATCCTCATCTTCAGACAAGACCATCTTTGCATTCAAGAAGGCAGTGCGCACGTCCAGGATTGATGCGCTCCACTGTTTGAGAGCTGCGCACCAGACCAAGATTCTAAGCGCTGCTGCATCGGCGCCTGAGCTGAAGTTATCTTCATCTTCTTTTCTAGGCTCCAAGTTGCCGCATGCCACCCACCTCATCTTTTTCTTTCCTCCATCAAGGCCTGGCTTTCTGGTGAAAACCAGCTTGGACGGGATATACTCAATCCCTTTTCCTGACTTCTCAGCTTGGTGTTGTAGTAGAGCAAGTTCTTCTGGGCCAATCTCTCGGAAAGCCTGCTTTTCATAGAGGAGAGATTCGACTTCGCTTTGAACTGCAGGAAGCCATTCTTGCCAGTGTTCTGCGACCTCCTTTGGTGACACGATTCGTGTCTGTAAAATCTCTTCCTCCTCATTCGGCATTGATGCCATCTTCCGAATTTTGGCCAAGATTTGGAGCTCTTCCAAAGCCAGTTCTGGGTCATCATCGACCATGAGGCACATTTCTTTTTCGATTAAGCGGAGCATGCAAACTCTCCGCTTCTTTTCTTCATCTTCTTCTCCTCCATCCTCCTCTTGAAACTTTCTGATCGCTGACTTTCCCCTCATTCTTCTTCGAACATTCAAGGCGTCCACTGCTTCACGTTCCAGAGCAACCCATCCTTCTTCTGCTAGAGGGAGATGTGCTGCTTTCATGAGAAGTTTCGTGACGCGTGGCCTCTCATCTTTTGGGAGTATCCAGTGACCATGTTCTTCTGGAGCAGGACAAAGGTACCTGACGTTTTCAGTGGAAACTTCAAAAGTTCCTCTTCTCCATTTGCGCTTTCTGACCATGACTTCCGTGAGAAAGGGAGGCCAATCCGGGCTCTTTGCAAGCCTGGCAGCACGATTGAGCTCATTGACGTATCTTGTTGCCCACGGCCACCAAGTTGGTTCAGCTTGTGCTTGAAGAAGAACCCTTCTTATTTGAGT